CGCCTGCAGCAGCTCCAGCCGGTCCTGGCTCAGGTACAGCGGCTTGCCGCGCCTGACGGGACACGGACATTTGTACAACTAGCTCAAAGATCCGTATTTTAAATTGGTATACAGATAACAGTAAAAGTTTTTTATTAGAATATATTAGCTGTTTTCCGCGATTAAGGTGAAAGATTCTTCAAAATCGGGTCTATTATTTCGGAGCTTACTCGATGCAAACAAAATAATTTTTTCTTTCTATAATTAGTATAGATAAAAGTATATTAAAACACACGAAAATTATGCAACAAAAAAAACTAAGAGTTGGAGCGGGTTAGAATTTAAAACCACTATATGCAAAATCAAAATAACATACGTCAAATTTCGAATAAAAGTTAGAAATACATATCACTATTATCATCATCATCAGCCCTTTTACATTTCCCCTGCTGGGGGTCAGGTCTTCCTTATAGATAGTTAAGGAGGATGGGCCATGACCCTCCACGCCTGCTCAATGTGGATGGGAGAGCGTTAACGACTGCAAATGCAGCCGAGACCAACCGACCACCCATCCCGTGACCGACCCTTGCGACAGTTGCTTAACAGCAACGATCGCGGGCTGCGGCACCTACACTCTAAACCACCGAGCCTTTCAAAAAACAATACCGCCTTTGAGTACTTTATAAGATGGTAAATGCGCTCACTTGAGATCTCTGTCCTCCTCGTCGTAGTCGTCCAGGTACAGTGAGCCCCACAGGCAGGCGCGGCGGCCGCGGATCACGATGATGTACGTGGACGTCACTACCAGGAATATGCCCGTGCCGCCCCCGCACTCCATCGCGTGCTGCGCACACACTCAACCGTTACCGACTGGCTGACAACACTCTGGAGGGGTCCTCGAATACTTTGGGACACATTGTCCGGAACCAAAACTAGTCATTCAAGGGCAAGGAGAAGACGAAAACGAGCGGTTGCAACTCTTCGTTGTACTGATATCATAGAGACCGCGATAGAAACTGCCATATTCGTCTTCATGAAAGACTTCCTATTTTAATGAAGTCATTTTTCAATCTTGACGCTCTTTGTGAAATAAAACAAAGAGAAAAAAGCAGCCCTTGCTGAGTTTCTTGTTGGTTCTTCTCGGTACAAAGTCTCCCGCCGTAGATTTACGAACCGATGGCGTAGCTCCAGACTTTCATAAGTGTAACAGCCTAGACTGAATAAATAATTTTGATTTAAATTTTTTATTTTATTTTGATCCAATAGAGATGCGTCGCTAAGGCAGCATTATCCAAATCAGAGGTATTATCGTGAAATTATGTCAACTCAAAGAGAAGAGAACTTATTAATACTATAAAACAAAGTAACATATATATTTTTTTATTGCAATATTTGCCGGACGGCATGGTCACCTGCACGGCCTCGGCGACCTGGTGCTGCCGGCAGCAGGCCTGCTTGAGGCAGACGAGCGTGCCGCAGAGCAGGCACACGGAGGCCTCCTTGGGCACGGCCCCGCACTGCGCGCACACGCGCTCGTGGTAGTACGTGAACAGCCGGTCGTAGTCGCGCGGCAGCGACAGCAGCGCCGGCTGCGACCACACCACGTGCAGCGACCGCAGCAGCCGCCGGGTCTGCGTACACACACGCAGAATTGATGAAGAAGATTATGAAAATTTTAAATTGTTTTTTTTTTTCGTATCGACCTATTAACGGGAACCCTATTAGGGGCCGTAAATTAATCATGTGAGGCTCGAAAGGGGGGAGGGGGTTCGTAAAAAAATCACGAAACATCACAAGGATGGAGAGGGAGCGTAATAATATATCACGTGTATTTATTTTTTCCTCAAACGCGCGATCACTAAACCGAAAAGCGGCGTCAAAAATTAAGATTTTTTTGTAGGTACTAAAAATTACACGTGATTTGAATGGAGGGGGGGGGGGGAGTCTTAAACCTCACCATGTATCACCAAGGGGGAGCGGAGGTTTACAAATGCTAAAAAAACATCACGTGATTAATGAACAGCCCCTTATTAAAACTTCGCGGTCCGTCTGTCACCAGGCTTTATCTGCTATACCGCGTCCAGGCTTACACAGTAGGTAATTAAGTACAGGAGAGTGCGTGTACCACGAGTTGTCCCCGCGCGGCGGCCGCGCCCAGCTGGCGGGCCCAGGCGCGCGCGGCGGGGGCGGCGGGGGCGGGGGGCGCGGCCAGGTCGGGGGCCCCCGCGCAGGCGTCGGGCAGCAGCTGCAGGTAGTGCGCCAGGCGCGCGAACTCGTGGCGCGGCGCGGGCACCTCGGGCAGCTCGCAGCCGTACACGTGGTGCCGCACCAGCGCCGCCACGCGCAGCAGCGGCAGCAGCAGCTCCTGCGCACCACACGCCACGATTATCGATGCGTTACGCCTCACTTAAACCTTGCCTAGTCAAAATGGTACCGACGAACACACTCGATCATGTATTCCTTCCGTAATATTCTAAAATTCTTGTTGAGGAAAAAGGGAAATCAAGGAAAGTATAGTACTAGTAGCGTCACAGCGGCTCCGATAAATGTATGACCTGCAACTGAGGCTCCAACGACAGGTCGGGCGGCGCGTGCCCGGCGGCGGGCCCGTCCTCGGTGAACAGGTCGGAGCCGGCGAGTGACGTCAGCAGCAGCCGCGCCGCCTCCCGCAGGCCGCTGCCCGCCCCCGGCCCCGCCGCCGCCCCCAGCGCCGCGCGCCCCTCCGCGGTGGTGCTCGCGATAAACTGACATACTATTTGATAGTACGTTAACGCGTATAGAGCTCGCACTATGCACGTGAAGTGTTCTGTGAATTAAATTTTATTTATTTGTATATCTGCTCGGAGTTGAATTACCCTCGTCTACGTCCGGCTCGAAAGACCACAATGCACAACACAATTACCATGGTCGATGAGGTTGAGCGATTTCTGTAGTTATTGTAATACACGTGGATCGCATCGATCAATATAAAATAGTAATTATATACTGTATATGGGGTGCAGAAACAAAACCTCAAATAACATTACTTTAATCAAATTTTATTTACGCACGTAGTTAAAGATGAATCGATTCTCATATTACGTTACTAAAATTGCACTAATTTATACCGAAATTACTGCATGAATGAACAAAGAACGAATGAATACATAGGTATTAGACAATGTCTATGGAACTTTTAAAGAAGAAAGGGAGGGAGGAGTTGACTAAAACAGTACATAAGTATATATATTGAGATGCAACGCACGTATGTCGAGGTGCGGCGGGTGCGCGGGCGCCAGCAGCAGCAGCTGCAGCAGCAGCGCCACGGGGTCGCGCAGCAACAGCGGCACGGGCCGCGCGCCGCCCCCCGCCGCCACGGCGGGCCCCGCCCCCGCGCCGCCCGCGCCCGCCGCCGCCCCCGCGCCCGCCCCCGCCTGCTCGGGGGGCGGCACGAGCGCGGTCCACATGTCGGCGGCGCCGAACTCCGCGCCCGCCGCCTCCAGCGCCCGCACGTGCGCCCCGGCCACCACCATCAGCGGAACTGCCCACCACACAACATTTACAATATTCAAAACGCTCTCGTTGTCGCTGGGAGTTTTGTGTGGTCTCCTTTTCAAAATGCAAGAACTCTTAAAGATTGACCAATCTTGTATGAATTTATCCCCTTCGAATAAAGGACAAATCAAATTTTTCTTCATTCCACGATTAAGTTTACATTTAAAATTCAATAAATGCTAAAATAAATGCTATCGTTCTTTTTACATTGAGATAACTGTACAAAGACAGATGTACGAGTCCATGTACATTGTGTGTAAGTAAACATAATAGTCTGATCAGCGTTTCAAGTTCAACGCTCTGCAACCTACATTCACGTATTAATTATTATCATTTACAATTTTATTACATTAAAACAATGAACAAACAGCACTCATTGGGTATAGTGATTAATTACGTTTCCCTCTCCCTACATATCCGTATAAACTGGAGGTAACCCATACAACAGAAATACAGATAATAGGTTTTTGCGATAAAACATTCACATTCTTTTGCAGTCATATTTTTCTTGCTTAAAACATGATAGTCTATTGGGCAGTTGCACAAACGTCCATTAGGGTTTAAGACGCCGTTAAGCTCTAATGAATGTCAAATTTATATGGGTAATGTCACTTTAAACTAATATCAATTTTAATGGATGTTTGTGCAACTGGCTGTAAATCGTCGAAATATACATCAAACTTTCTCTATTTATCTACCGGCCAGGACAAAGTACATCGTAATCCATAGCCTGATTCGACGGCAACACTCACCGATGCAGTCGTTCCTGGGCTTGTACCGGGGCGGCGGGTGCGAGACGAGCGTGCCGCCGCGCTGCACCAGTTCGCACTCCAGGTTGGTGCGCACCAGCGAGGCCACGAACGTGAATATGGCCGCCGGCGACGTGCCGTAGCGCTGCCGCAGCTTGCTGCCCGCCATCGCCGTCATGTCCTCCATGGCCTTGCCCATCGCCTCCGACAGCCGAGTCGGACTCTGATACGTACATATACGCATATAAGCATTGCAAGCATATGCTGGTCATGCGCAAATCAACATCGAGAGATTGCTCTAAGGACCAGCATGAAATTCAGCGAGGGCAGATCGAGAGTTCGTATCAAGTTTAACACTATAAATCGTGGGTAGGAAACGAGCGATGCAAAAGAATATATGTGTAACATACATTGAAGTTCATATTGTACCGTATGCATAATTTGAACCGTTTCGTAGTGATTTACTTAGTTATAAGTTTTTTATTCCTTGTTAGTTATACGTCGACCACCATACCGATCGCGTGTATACTCCATTAGCATTACTTCTCCATCTATACTGTTTCCTCATACATCATTTCACCACAACCATTACTAGTTCTTTTTTCTCTATCTTTTAATTTATGAAATAGTGTATTTAATACTTTACTTTGTCTTTTACTATTACCAGTGACTTTATATTTACATTTCCCCTTTGTTGGGTGTATGTCTCGCATAGTCCGTACAATATGTATCGATGGAGACTAATATAATCCCAACTCTTTAGATATAGTCTAAAGACTCCAGTTTAAAGGAGAGTCTCTCATAAGCTAATGAATAAGTGCGTACCGGGGGCGGCGCTCTGGTGGCCAGCATCTGGCGCACCTGGTCGGCGTCGGACGTGGCGGGGGCGGGGGCGGGGGCGGGTGTGGGCGGGGGCGGGGGCGGCGGGGGCGCGCGCGGCAGCACGGTGTTGGCGAGCTGGCGGCAGACGGGGCACAGGAACTCGCCGCGGTCCACGTGCAGGTTGTGCGGCCGCTGCGGCGCCGCCAGCGCGCGCAGGTACAGCTGCAGGCAGCGCAGGTGCAGGTGGTGGCCGCACGACGCCACGTGCACGCCGCCCTCCCAGCCCACGTTCACGCTCAGCAGCCACGACTCCTGCCGACCACGACCGACACTATCGATACTCGTTTATGACGCACGCGTCACTTTTGAAACGACACAGACGATCTATTCAATTGAAGTCGAATAATGATAACTTGTATTGATATGCGGCACGAAAGCGAAATAAAATACGCAACTTATTTATGCACACTAACTTGTTAAGTACCGGGAAAAGATCAATAATACACAAACTATTTGTTATTTATCCAAATTTATTTTATCACCTTTAAAGTATGTACGGTGAAAAAAATGCTAAAAATATTTACTTGATTGATTTCGTATTTATTACTATTTCATAAAACAGTTATTTTTTAAATAACAGAAATTTGCAAATTTCACTAAGGGGACTATTACACGATGTAAATAAATTCCTGCATTATTGGGTTACCAATCTTCTTATACGTAGATTTCCTCAAAACTCTACGTACAATAAATAAAAAATTAACAGTTGTTAATAAATATTTCAAACTTAAAATGAAATGCTAAGTTTATCCAACTTTTCTGAAAGCTGATGACATGACGAGCTTAGGGTTTCAACAATACCACATAGGAATCAATATTTTTACTCGATACCTACTTGTATCGAATAGTTTTAAAATGCCTCAGCATCGTCATCATTTTTATATTTTTTTCAGAGTAAAATCTATTCTAAAAAAAAAAGATAGTATTTATTCTCAATAACTGTACTCTGTATAATGAAGAAAGAGAAGTAGGTCTAGACATAAAAGCGATACATATAGAAAGTATGTAAATTCATTTCATTTTCATTTTACATGTAAAAATTTATTTATTTACTTGACATTGGCAGAATTGTACGAATAAGCCATTAATTTAAAAAGAAGAAGAAAGTATGTATTTAGTTCGTATTGCTTCAAAATTTTGTTGGCAGTGCCCCCTTTAGATAAATCTCTAACTATATTAAATTAGTAGAGGTTAGTAATGATTAGTTATAATAACCTATCGATAGGCATATAAGATTTAACATTCTATTATTTCATTTATATGATTTTTTTTATTCTTTAGTCGAAATAGGAGAATTAATGACAATCATACGAAATCCTAAAAAATAGATCACAACAAAAACAACGAAATGAATTATCTATGTCTATATTATTGGAATGAAAAGTAATTGTGACTTTAAAAGTTACACAACTCCATAAATCTTATAGCTTTGAAAATTATTGTGATAGCTTGAAAAATTAGACAATTAGGTCACTGTCCTCGTGTTTATTGAAATGTGACGTCACGCATGTAAATGTCAAAGCGGGCAATCGTCCGCTACGATCGGTACCTGGTCGAAGTGCGCGTGCAGGTCGTCGTGCATCCGGTAGTGGTGCGCGGCCGCGGCCGTGTCGTGGTGCTGCGCCAGGCGCGCGCGCTCCGCCTCGGAGAGCGCCAGGCGCGCGTGCGCCCCGCCCGCGCGCCGCCGGTGGCCCAGCACGGAGGTGGACTGCAGCAGCGCCACCAGCCCGATGGGGTCGTGGTGGGAGGCGGGCGCGGTGGTGTTGCAGATCACGCAGTCGTAGTGCCGCTCGGGCGGCGCGCGGTCCTCGTCCCACTCCATGTGCTGCGCGGCGGCGCGCACGTGCGACATGAACTGCTGCTGCCGCCGCGCGAACTCGCGCATCACCGCCGCCTGCCGCTCGCGCGCGCGACGCGACCGCTCCTCTTTCTCCCGCCTCTCTCTGAGGAATGTGTCGTATTAAACAAGGAACGTGCGAGAACTGTTTTAAAATTTTATACCTATAAAAAGAAAGTATGTAAATATTTATCCACGTTTTTTGATTTCGTCTGGAAAACAATTATTGAAAAGTGCAAAAAATGCGGTTAATGCAAAAAACTTAAACGCGACGCTATTTGACAGAGTAGATGTGACGAAAACGTACACGTAAAGCGATGTCGTGGTGACAAATAGTTAACATCGATATGTTTAAGAGTTTTATTCTCATTTCACCAATTTAGTAAACTATAGGATTATTAAAAAATCTATTTAGTTTAAAGTAATCAATTATTTGTTTATCGATTTAAGTAATTATTCGATTTTTACGATCGACTTAAGTAAGTACTTAAGTAAAATGATAATCATTTACTCCAAATCCAAATTGAATTAAAATGCCATACCTCTAATCGAGTACATTGAAGTCAATGAGGAATTATTTAAAAAAAAGAATTATTTCCCTTAATCAAACTCGATGTCGCTACGGTACGCTCTTGATTTCTCCATGACAACCCTCCGTTTTTCTTTCATGTTTAAAAGTAAATTAGTTTTCAAAACTCAATAAACAACTCATATTCTATTGTACTTTTTCGTATTTGTATTGATATCTAAGTTTCGAACTTTTCAAATTTCAGTTTTTTTAAATGTTAGTTAAAAGGAATGTCCATTCGTTTCCTGCAAAAATCAACTTTTGATAGAGTCGCCATCTAGTGGAGGTGTTTTTAGTCCTTTTTTTAAATACTTCCCCATTATTTATATTTGTTAATTAATTTTAGTTATTCGGTGCCGAGTATTATATAACTTGAAGTAAAGTACGCCAACAGATGATAAAGCAACTTGTGCGTGGTACAACCTGGCGCGCTGCTCCGCCTGCCGCTCGCGCTGGTTGGGCCACAGCGAGTGGCGCACGTGCTGTATGGCGGCCGCGCACCGCACGTCCAGCTGGGCCAGCGCGCGCAGCACTTGCCCGATGAAGTACGGGCCGTCGCCTGCCGAACGGTTACCGAGGTGCAGCATACAAACATTGCATATTACGTATTTAGATTCAAACAATATCACTAAATAATGTTTGCTTCCGATCACAACTACAGTACCTCGGTGGCTTAAGCTACTTTCGCAAGGGTGGGTAACGGGATGGGTGACCAAAAAATTATTATCTCGAGCTACTCCGTGCTTCGGAAGGCACGTTAAGCCTTTGGTCCCGGCTGCATTTGCAGGACGTTAATATCCTCCAATCCGCATTGGGACAGCGTGGAGGGTCATGGCCCATTATCCTAACCATCCATAAGGAAGACCTGAGCCCCTGTAGTGGGGACGTAAAAGGCCTGATGATGATGATGATCACCACTGAAGATTCTATTGTACATAAAATAGTTACTATTCGTAAAACGTTATCGCCTACAATTTCGTTCCCTGATATTTTATTTTAAATACACTTTTAGTTTTACAAAAGTGCTATTTACACCTAGAGTAAATAATGTCAAATACCAAATTATTTTAAAATAAGAATTTCAAGAGACTACATTCAGACTACATTAAATTCTAATCTAAATTCTGTTTGCAAGTCATGTGGGTTAAAGTTTTTTATTCACGCTCAATACAAATTTGCACCTTATTAGGAGCTGCCAGTATATATCCATTTACCTATAGGCTCGTCTGTCTCGGGCGGCGCCTCCTCGAGTGAGAATGAGTCGAGTTTCCCCGACAGTTGCGAGTGTAGTTTCATCAGTAGTGATATTATCGACTCGTTCACTGGTATTGACTCGTCGCTTTGTTGGTTGTGTACTTGTACCTGTGGCACATTGTAAGTTAATGTAGTTGGTAAGAATTAAAAGTTATAAGTAATTATAATTACCTATTGCATAACTACTTATATGCGAAAATAGCTTCTTCACTAACCTATTTCTAAAGTGTCTAAATACAATCGTTTAAATGACATCGACAAATGGGATGAAATGGATGGACAATTAAAATTAATAATTAACTTGGCTCACAAAGAGCAAGTAAAGTAATATGTAATAGATAATCGGAGAAAAACTTTTTCGCATACACCATGCATTAACTTCTTTTATCACTTAGTAAAAATTATGAGTGTGGTTAGGTGTTAATACCTTCTTCTTAAAACGGTAACCTTTCATCTTCGCATTACCATCTGCTTTGGCCTCTTCAGAATTCTTTATGCAGTATCAGGTTAACATAAAAAGATAACTCCCTAAATTTTTACCAACAGCATTATGTTCCTACCCACAAGATTGGAAACCATGGAACTAAATGTTACATATTTATATATACTGTAATAAAATGTAAATATACACTAAAAAGACTGGAGTTTTCATATCAAATGAAAAGAAACATTTTTGTAACCCTTATAATAAAGTTAAAAAAAAAAAACTTTTATTACCTGTGCGCTGGTAGATGGTTGTGGATGTGTCCCCGGCCGTCTCGCTACCACGCACCACTCGGACGAACCGTCTACAAACATAACCACAATACAATTCGCATAAATATATAACACTTGTTTCAAGGAAAATAGAACGCGGTCTAGTTTCATTAATATTAGGGTAACAAATATATGTATACAGGTATTGTTGAATTACAAATATGAATTAGATTAAAAAAAAATAAACAGAAAAAGGAATACATACGACCCAATAAAATGGTTGATTTAACTTGTAATAATATTAAAATAATAGTTTATGCAACTGTCATACAAGAAGGGGTATTAAAATACGAGAGTCTGTAATAAAAAGCGATAATAGGCCGACTCGAGTGTTTTAATACCTAAGCTATATGCAGTTGTTAAGTTATAAGCATAAGAAAAATTGAAATTAAACAAAGTAGGTAATTTACAAGGAAGTAATTTATGCGTGCGCCTTTTTTCATATTGAGCCTAAAACAATACATAGACAAGTTTAATTAATAAAAAAAGATAACGGTTCTATAATGAGTTTTTCAATGCAGTTGCTCATAAAGCGCTATTTTTTTAATCCATTGTACCCACCGAAAGTGAGTCTTTAAACACGTGTTAAATAAAAATGTACTGAAATCCTTTACTGCACACGTGCTTAAAAGTATTTTTTTAATTTTTTTTGGTCAAACAACAAAGAAATTTAAAGAAAATGATGGTAATATGTCAAACTTTAGAGGCAAAAGTATTTCAAGGAGCCTAGAACGAATATTTTCAAATAAAAATGTATGACACGAAAACATGTTCAAATATCACGTTTAATTTTAACAAATAATTTTTACCTTTAATAAATACTTAGTTTTATTAACCTATATATTTATTACCTCGCAAAAAGCATTGAAAAATGTTGTAAGAAACTTGAGCGTAAAACCTTACTTTCCGCACTCGTATCTTAAATAACTATTATGATACAGTTGGCGGTACTATAATGAGACTTATTTTTAATTTTATGTATATGCGTTTGTATAGAATCATCTCTGAATTCGTAATTCGCATTTTTCGATTTGAGTGTAGATATTTTAAAATATGATTTTTAATACGGATGTAAACAATAAACAAAAATAAATACATTTTTTCTGATAATGTTTAATATACTATTATCGATAATCACTCTTTGATGCTTATTATATTAATAATATTGCTTAATTATGAAAAAATTAATATTTTATACTCGTGCTCGTGAAGATCACCTGAGGTTAGGACCCTCTTACTCTTAGCAGAACATAGAGAATTCAACGGTATGCATACATAGAACAATATTCGTTTAAGAGGGTCGTGACCCCATGACAGAAGAGGGGCTTTCGCGGGAATTTTTGATAATTAAATTTATTTTTAGATTTTTACTTTAATTATATGAATTATCCTTTTTTTTCAAATATTATTCATGGATATCTATAAAATAAAAATGTATAAAAAAAGTTGTTTACACCTATTATCTAATTTTGGAATAAAAAGAAGACTACCAGATTTTTCACTGAATATAGGCGAATTTAGCTGAAAACTATATTTATGATAATAAAATGACAATTAAAAAATTATAGATAACTATTTTTTTAACAAATTATTTACTAAAAATACTCTCGATACGTCAAAAATGTTTATTTACCGATCTACACTTACAGACGACATCGTATCCACCGTATCGTAACTAAACTAGGCATGTCGATTCACTTGAAAAAAAAATCAATATCTGAATCAATTCGAATCGAACATACTAGAATTGATTCTCGATTAAATTGAGAAAAAAAAGATCGATTTTTGATTAATAGCGTATTTTTCAATCAAACATGCTTTATATAGACACAGAGCATTATTGATGATAATTTATCGTTAATACAAGTAATGCAGGAATTGTAGGAGACCAATCAGGCAATTTGTTATAATAGATGGATGATGTATGGGCAGTGGCGTAGCTAGGTAACCTAGGGCCCTGGGGCAAATAAAAAAATGAGGCCCACTGCTCGAAAAAATACTTGACTGGAAGTTCACAATCGCGAATCATAAAAACGCATATCGATAAATAATAATATGCAGATATTGATATCCGACAAATTGATGAAAACATTAATAACACTGTCAACCCACACAAATAATTTAAGGGAATACCTTTTTATAACTTTGGAATTTCTTACAACTGAGTTGCCATGATTAAACTCGAGTTGTCACCTGTCATATTTATTTTTAAAATGGGAGAAATTTTCAAAAGTTGAGTTTGATTGAGATTTTCTGATAAAGATTCGAGGGCCCCCTAAGCTTCAGGGCCCCGGGGCACTGCCCCGCCTAGCCCCTTGGTAGCTACGCCACTGTGTATGGGTGATTCCACGAGCTGGAGTAACAGTAACAGTAGTTACAGCTACACTATACTGACATTCGAATGCGTTCATAAATATTTATTTTATGCGTTCAAATTATTATCAATACGTCCGACATCAGCAAAATATTAAAAAACTAAAAGTATCGTATCCAATTTAAGAATTTTAAATTGCTAGTTCTTGAATTGAATTGGTCCAATTCGAGGAGTTGATGCATCGATTCAAGAATCGATGTAGCATTCCAAATCGATTATTTTACTCTAAATAATCGATTTTTCGATTAATCGATCTCAGATCGATATGCCTAAACTAAATTACAATATACAAGGGGATAGTGTTACCTATGTCTATTGGTAGTGGAGTATCTGGTTCAGCGATGGCGAGTGTCAGTTGTGGTTCAGTGTCCATCATAGTGTCTAGCGACGGCAGCGCCAACGCCTGCCGATCCGTCGCGTCCTGTTCACAACGCAACCAGTGTTTCATTAATACACTTATTATAATCTGTTCCCGAATTCATTCATTTCTATTGTATGGTAATTTTGACAATAACCATAATAATTATAAGAATAAATTGAATATACATATTAAAATTTTACAGGTAACTTGTATAATATTTAAACATTTTTATTTAATCGTAAAAAAATAAAAATATATCTTTTGGTTACATTAACATCTTACACAATATGGATGACGACTCATTTTTGATTATTTATCCGTCAGGTAGATCAATGAAGAATATTAAATTAATATTATTATTAAGTAATATTATTTTTATTTTTTGGGTAATCAATAAATTGCAGCGATACATCGAGTTGAAATGTCGCATGACGTCACGCTTTTGTACATTGCCTACAAAACTGTGACGTAGCGAGCCCGCAGTCCTCAACTATAATGCCAATTATCTAAGCCATTTCGTGTTTAATTGGAAGTAAAAAAAAATACGTATCTAATATTTTTCTATTATCCGACTGACGGACTAAATAGAATTTCTTTTTCTTTACTCAGTCGAGCTATCCTATCCATATTGAAGTAGTTTGTATTATCTGTTACGATTTAGATGTTTACTTTATTTTAAGAAATTTTGGTGGAGGCGACCAGTTGATAAAAAAAAAAGAAAATTTATGTTCTAGTTTAACTTTTCTAGAAATTACTACATATTAATAAAATACCTCTGTAGCCCGGTGACGTAGTCGGTTTAAAAAATATTATATCTAGCTATTCCGTTCTTCGGAAGGCCCATTAAGCCGTTGGTCCCGGCTGCAAATGCACCCTCTAATCCGCATTGGGCCAGTATAGAGGATCATGGTCCATCCTACTTGACCATTTATAAGGAAGGCCTGAGCCCTGCAGTGGGGCTGTAACAGGGCTGATGACGACATACCTCTAAAGCTCTCATCTGTGCAGCATCACCTCCTGCGTCTGATTGGTCGTCGGGTAACGAGCGTTCTCTTGGCACCATCTAACATTACAATGATTGAACGCTGATGATATACTTTTTGCAACTCAAGATTTCAATATAGATAGTCGATTGTATGTTTACTTCTAATCGGACACTCGTGTATTTATTACCTGTAAAGGTGAGGGTACCGCTAACGCCGTACTGGTAGCGGGCAAGGAGACGGATTTCGTCAACGAAGGCAGTCTTGTTGTCTCTGATTCTGAAGGATCCCATTCCGTATCACCTACGATAACATTGTATTACTATTGATAATATTTTATTACAAATGTTAATATTGTGTTTGCTTCTGGCTTATTTATGAGTGAATTAAAAGACACCAGTGTCTCGGTGTAATTTATTAGTGCGGGGCGGCACGCAGGTGAGGAGGGTCTGTACATACTGTCGGAGTCACAGAACACAGAAAGACGTTAGAAGGGCTTTGTGGGCGTGGCACTGGAGCCACGATCCTAGACAAATGTACAGGATCGTGACTTCACCACGCGATCGCGATGTTTAGTCATTCACGAACGCGCGCGCTGTAAGTACTGTGAAACACGCCACTAAAAGTGTTAAAAATGCCGACTTTCGCAGTTATTAATTGCAAAACAAGAAGCCCATCCTCAAGTAGGTCTAAAGGAAAGATTTCTTTCCATTATTAAGTAGAACACTTCTCAAATTTAGTATTTTTAGTCGAAAATCGTGAAATGTTATCAAAAGTGTGAATCACAAAAAATATTTCCAAGAAAATATACATTGCTGGAGAAGTGCGCATATATATTACATTGCGTCGTACTAAGCACGTAATGTAATGAATATCGCGAAATTACCGTTTTAAATAGCAACATAATAGATTACGGTAGATGGGTAGTGAATGCCTGGAAACATTTAATCGATTCTTGGTATGTTAGTTAGTAAAAACTAAATAAAAGTATGGACAATATAAATAGTGGTAATAAAAAATAAATTTAATCAGAGATTAACCATATTGAATTCGTTTGGAATGCGTTTGTATATTAATTTAATAATGAGTGTGGTAATAAGTCTGTTTTTATATTCTTAATATTGTAACAGAAAACTAGTTTTTTTTTTTTGAACCATTTGAACCATTACAACAATACTTTTTAAATCATCGGATTCTGTTCAGGATAAGTTCCAATAGCATTTATTGTACTGATAGTATTTTTTTATTTTGTATATATTTATTTAGATTATATTGTTTGTCAATATTACTAGTTTCATTTAAGCGATGTTGCCGATCTTATCTGTTTACTTGATACGAAATCGAGTAACGTAACGTAAAAAACCTACTATTATTATTAATAATTATATGCATATATATAAGCTCGATTAGTACCGATTCAATGTTAGTTCATTAGTAATTTAAATATTTCTTATTGAATCAACCAACTAATTAAGAATTTATATCTAAAGAAAAAAGATAATGACTCATTTAATCAATACAATTCAATGTATATCCAATTTAATATAAAGAAATCATTAATCTAGTATCCTTTCAATTAATCGATTTGTTGTTTTTCAATATCGATAGTAAATAACTTTATGTCAAGCACTAGTGTGATATGTCACTATAGAAGTCTGTTATGGTTGAGCGTGATTGGTTATAGTTATATTGGAGCGTTCTGATTGGCATATTTAAAATACAAGTGTGTGCATATCTTTTGTATAATTGGTCTGATTTATTCGTCTGATGTACGGCGGACTAAAAGTGGGGCAAGACTGGCTACATCGGTTTTCGTACAAAGGATGCATGATCGCCTTTCTAACCTCTTTTCCGTGTTCTGTGGTCGGAGTGGTAGTGCGCGGGCGCGGGCGGGGGCGGGGGCGCGCGGGCGGGGGCGCGGGGCGGCACGCAGGCGAGGAGGGTGCGCGCGTTGTGTGCTGTGTACGTACTGTCGGAGTGGTAGTGCGCGGGCGCGGGCGGGGGCGGGGGCGCGCGGGCGGGGGCGCGGGGCGGCACGCAGGCGAGGAGGGTGCGCGCGTTGTGTGCTGTGTACGTACTGTCGGAGTGGTAGTGCGCGGGCGCGGGCGGGGGCGGGGGCGCGCGGGCGGGGGCGCGGGGCGGCACGCAGGCGAGGAGGGTGCGCGCGTTGTGTGCTGTGTACGTACTGTCGGAGTGGTAGTGCGCGGGCGCGGGCGGGGGCGGGGGCGCGCGGGCGGGGGCGCGGGGCGGCACGCAGGCGAGGAGGGTGCGCGCGTTGTGTGCTGTGTACGTACTGTCGGAGTGGTAGTGCGCGGGCGCGGGCGGGGGCGGGGGCGCGCGGGCGGGGGCGCGGGGCGGCACGCAGGCGAGGAGGGTGCGCGCGTTGTGTGCTGTGTACGTACTGTCGGAGTGGTAGTGCGCGGGCGCGGGCGGGGGCGGGGGCGCGCGGGCGGGGGCGCGGGGCGGCACGCAGGCGAGGAGGGTGCGCGCGTTGTGTGCTGTGTACGTACTGTCGGAGTGGTAGTGCGCGGGCGCGGGCGGGGGCGGGGGCGCGCGGGCGGGGGCGCGGGGCGGCACGCAGGCGAGGAGGGCGCGCGCGTTGTGTGCTGTGTACGTACTGTCGGAGTGGTAGTGCGCGGGCGCGGGCGGGGGCGGGGGCGCGCGGGCGGGGGCGCGGGGCGGCACGCAGGCGAGGAGGGTGCGCGCGTTGTCGCACACGCAGGCGCCGGGGAAGGCGCCCAGCAGCGGCACGCCGCGCACCACGGAGCCGCGCTCGCTCTCCGCCACGCACATGTCGCCCTGCACAACACAACACATATACGTACGTTATGATTATTAAATGATGTACAAAGTTTTCAGTAAAATTATTCACACAAAAATCACCTTTCCAATGTAATGTGTAATAATAGGATGGAGATGTATCCATCCTATTATATATAATGTGTTTAGTTTAATAGTCACTCAAAACGCAACTTATGTCTATTTCACCCGTACTCCCAGGTCCCCCCATTGCATGGCGACCCTGCCAGTGCTGCCCGTAGGCAGCTCTGCGTAGCTGGTTTTTTTAACATAAATAAGTGCGAGCGTGCGTTGTTATAAAAAGCAAATTAAAAAAAAAACAATACGAAAAATAAACAACGTGAAAAATATAGAAAAATGAAAATTTATTATTTTAAATAAATATATTTGTAATAAATATAAATTCTTTGAATTGAAAGCAGGGAGCCGGTAGATAAAGGAGTTTTTATTCAATGTATGTAGGTTAACATTTTTGGTAATGATTTAATTTCGAATTCCTATTTTAACAAAAAGTTAATATTATCATCTTGTTTATTTTACTTTTTATAAAATATAACAAAGCTTATTAACGATATTATATACTTACATATATTATCATACTTAAAATACATATGCTATATACTTACATTTGTGTCTTTTTCTTTATATAGGAAAAGAAACAGCGTCACTTTTTATTTATATTTTGAGAAAAATAATAAATAAAATCAGTTAGCTACAGAATCACTAAGATAAAAGATATTAATTATCTTTCCAAAAATAAACTTGACAAGTTTCAAATTGTATTCCATTCAAATTTATATGTTTATCAGAAAAATAATTTAGATTAATAATATTTAAAAGTATAAGGCACTAATTTCGTAATAATTTAGTCAGGATAGTATCTAGTTGGATAATCACGTTATAAGCAAACTCCAAACATTTACAAGTTGCCAAGGTTTGCTCTGTAAGCAAATGTTTATGAAGGAAAGAGCGAAAACTGCGGGTTCAATTCCTGACTGAAACAATATTTTATAGCGTATATAAAAGTATATTTTTAAAAGTTATATTATTATCAGACATTACGAGTATAAAATATTATCGGTTGTTAAACTTTTTATTGAAATACCGAAGTTGTAATAGATTAACCAAACTTTTAAAATAAAGGATAGTAAGTTGAAACTTTGCGATGCGCTGAATAACATAAGTAACAAAAAAGGAAGTTAGGTATTGTATTTCTATATCCTTATAATGCACAATGCATTTGTAGTTTTGCAAGCTGTCATTTAGGTGAACCAGTAACATAAACATAAATAATATCACTTTAATTTGCCGTTTGTTGATCTGGATTTAATATATATTTCAAACAATAACACTGCACAGGCAATTGATATCTTCTATAATATTGTAACATGTGTTTATAGCAAATTTAATCGATGTCGTTGAAACATTTTATTACGTCGGGGTCATCACTTTACCGATTATTGTATTGGGTCACCACTTTACTGAAATGTTATGTGTTTTATTTATTAGTATATAGGTTGATATTTAACTTATTGATAAGTTTACTATCTGACTCTATTTATACGAAGGATCGGTAAAATAAATAAACGTGTTCACAGTTATGAGTTTACTTTCAGACTATTATTTGATGTTGAAGTGCCACTTACAAAATACAAAATATCATAGATTACGTTGCCACAGAGTGGTCAACAAAGATTATAAAACAGATGCGCCACAGCAGCAAAGTAAGAATACGATAATGATTACTCTTAAACGAAATTATAACAAGAATTAATATTAGAGAATAAATCTAAGCGAAAAAATGGTTAAATAGGTCGTAATGAAAAGTTTTTTTAGAAAGAATCCGTTGTGTAAGTTGTATTAAAAATATTAGGTACAGACGAATAGCGTGAGAATATAAGTTATGTGAACTGTATTAAAAAACTTTTTGTAACTTTATGTTTGCAATTAGGTACAGTATGGATGAGAAAAGAAAATGGTAATGTGTTTTTATTATTATGAAGGTTTTGGAATGATATGTAAAAGTTTATATTTGGATGTTTAATCATTATTGGGTTCGTAAAATTTCATAAGCCGCTGGACTGATCACCCAAGTGCTAAGAAATTTTTATTAGTCTAATTATTTATATTTTGGAATGTTTTTTTTTTAAGGATTAGAATGAAAGTTTATGAGTAATAAGTTCGAATAAAAGGTCCACAGTAAGAAATGGATACTATAGGAATCAGGTACTTCAGTCTTAAAAATTGATGAACGAGATTTCCATTTGAATACTATTGGGGACCAAAGAATGTCTTAATTCATGACAATATGAAAAGAAATGTGTATGAAAATGGCACATGGAGGGTCTGATCCTTTCATTTAAAAGAGGCGTAAACCATGACCCCAAAATGAAACAGAAACTGATTGTTGAATAATTTTACTTTATTTTTTAAACTGATTAAAAAATAAAGTAAAATTATTGTTATAATCTATAAAAAAATGTACTTTAGAAGTATTTTTTTCTTTTTAACGGGGGAGGTGTAGTGTGTACATCTCCACCCTATTACAAATAAAGTTATTCACACGTACTCCCAGGTCCCCACACTACACCAAATATCGACCGCACACGCACGCAGGACGCGGAGACCTAATCTTTTAGTACCGTTAAAAATGACACAGCACAGCTTTATAACGAATTCGAGTGAAACGAAGAAGCGAAGGCAGGTGGTACTGACCGGGCGCCTGGGCGCGCGCTCCGCGTCGAGCTGCGCGGCCACCCGCAGCAGGTACACGGCCAGCGCCAGCACGTGGTCGGGCGGCGCGTGCGGCGCGCACCCGCCCTCCGCGCCGCGCCGGTGCACGCCGCGGTGCAGCACGCACAGCAGCGCGCCGTGCAGCACGCCTGCCACACGACGGTCGTTACGTCACACATCTACGATACTATTGAAACGGGCCCGAGTAGCTCAGTAGAAACTTTAAGATACGCACCGGAAGCGCAGAGAGCGCGCGGGTCCCCGGCGGCGGCGGGCGCGGGGGCGGGGAGTCGCAGCGGCGGCCACAGGTTGCCCCCGCCCGCCGGCGTCGCCGCCCCCGCGCCCGCGCCCGCTGCCGACCCTGTGTCACCCACCGGCGATGGCGACGTTTCCCCCGACGCTTTCTGCTTCTCGCGGACGCTATGCGGTTTCAATAAAATAATCACAAATTTCAAGAATTCAATATAATAATCTTCATTTGCGAAAATATTTTCACAAGATAGTTTTACAATTTTAGACCAACATAAATTTTATCGTCAGACGATATCGTTTTGACTTTAACATTTGCACATACAAAAATTAAAGTCAATGATTTTGTTTCACTAATATATATTTAAAAAATATTAATAATTAAATATTTAATAATATAATAGATCATTTTTTTTTTCATATACACAATTCACCTTTTTTTTCATATACACATTTTCAATTTCCTTCAATTCACAAAAATCTCCAAACTTAGATCATATTTTATGAAAGGAACGTTAAAAACTATACTCAAAGAAAAATAAACAACAAAAATATTGGAAAAATGTCAATTATTAAAGGACCAAAAAACTATTTTTAAAAACCTTGAAGAACCTTTTCCACGTAAACAGGATGATGAATGATACAGGTGGGTTAATTGTGCCCGTGAGTGTATTATCATACAAAATTATTGTATTTGAAAAAAAAATCATAAAATATAGATTCCTTGATCTACTCTGTTTGATAAACTACTGTAAGTTCCTTGATTTAAATTCAAATAATATATCAAAAAACTTATCACGTTGAAAAAATCAAATCAAAGTTTAAACTTATTTTATAATTAATTTCAGAAATATTCAGTACAGAAAATGTTCTCCGAGTAAACACCTTCATAAAAAGAACGCAAAGCATTTCTGAATCCCACTTTTTAAATCTGTTATTAAAGTTATCTGTTTTTTGATGAAACTTCTTATGTATGAAGAACAAGGAAGTAAGATATTGTTTACACCTAGCAAACCATGGATTGCGGGTGAGAACTGGCAACCATGGTTATTTCAATTCCTCCCATTATTCTCTTTCAAATGATATGGAGTCCACTGAAAAAATATATGACTGCAATTTATCAACAAAATGTGATTACAAAAAATTATGAAAAATAATAGCGGCTAAATTATACCAGGCAACCCTGTTGCAATCCATTCTGCTATCTTAGATCTATAATAAAAAATAAGTTTCATCAAAAAACAGATAACTGCAGATTTAGCAGCGGGTTCCGTACTATAAAGTGATAGAAAACTCCGGAGAGACAAGTTGCTTAGAACATTATATTAATAAATCCACCCGTCAAGAAGTGGCGGATTGATGGCAGAAAAAAATTTACTCACTAAGACGTGAATCTGTCCATAGAAGAGTGAAAGTCCCTGCGGTGTACAGCTCGCCTGAGCACGTGCAGTGGATCATAGTACTGTTCCCAAACTATAGGTTTCGGTACGAACAGACCCTGCTCCAAGTTCTCCGAGCCTTTAGGCGGCGGTCGATACGTAGACACCTGTTGTCATTCAAAACTCTACTCACTTTCGTATTCTTTAATCAGTTATAATAAAAAACATTCAAAGAAAAAAACCGAGTTTGTCTCGATTTCTATAAGTAGAATTCTATTTAATATGAGGTGGAGTAGGTACATCATTTGTCCTTATTGTTACTATTTATTAGACTTTAAGAAAAGAATTGCAGTATATTTATATCCAGCCAACAGAAAATTTAAAAATTCACATTGAAATATTTTATCATTTCCTTCAATTAGATTTATCTAAATTTGAGATCACAATTGCCGAAGTAAATAAACGCCTGTTATTTAGACATAATCCTGCTGCAGTCATAAACGCGTGTGTGCATTAGTGGTTACCTCCTTGAGTACGGTCTCGAAGTTCCTGGTGTGCGCGTTGCCTGATCGCTCGGGCATCAGCTCGAGCAGCTGCGAGTGAGTCTTGTCACCGGCGGCGAGCAGCGTGCTCACCTCCAGCCGGGACTGGGTCAGTTCATCGTTGCCTGAAACAACAGACAATAACATTCCGTGTATTCAACTATCATATACAATTTCTATGTTAGTTATAATGCATTTAAAGTGTGTTTTCACACTTTCGTTTCGTTTCGCAATTGATAAGATTTTTTTTTTAAGTAAGACTAAATTTCTTCTAGTATTAAAGAAAAAACCCAAGGAAATTAATTTAATTAGTAGGTAGGGCTCACCGAGGTTGGTCCGCGAAGAGACAAGTATAGCAAGGAAGGTTAGCAGACCGTCCACCATGGCATCCTGCTCAGCGGCCTGCGCAGGAGTCATGGGCAGCATGCTCAGCCATTCACGGACACCAAACCTGCACGTGAAAAACAATAAGAACCGCAACTTATACCGCGCAATCAATGGATTGCGTTCTTGCGGAGCGAGATTCAGAGCGCATTAAATGACCTTGGACAGCTAAGTGTGGATCCAGCTTATGTTCATCGACATGAGAAAACTATCCATAGAGACATAACAAACACTTAATAGCGCAATCGCTATACCGCCTGTGAAAATTGGCTCCGAAACGACTTGACCATTCTTTTTAATTCTTCCATACGGGAATCTACGTCATACGTTATTCACACAGGTATAATAAAAAATAAAAATTCCATAGTTTACAATCGAAGAAAAATCATGTTAACATCTGTGACATAAAGTATAATACTCACATGTCGATGCACATATCGATGAACTGATCGGCGGGCAAGTGGGCGGCGCATATCTGCAGCCAATAGATGTCCATATCAACCATAGAGTTGCAGAAGTTGGCCTGGATGTAGGTCATAGCCTGACCCTTGATCTGCAGCCCGTTGCGCACCCACACACCCGCTAATATCTCGTAGAAGAGACTCTGCACGAAGAAGAGAAAAAAAAAATAACCATCTTAAAAAAAAGGATGTTCTCAGTTTGACCTGTATAAATAAGTATCTTTATCGCTTTTTACATAGATATTTAATATTTTTAGAGATATAAGTACTAATAAAAAAAAAATAATAGAACTAACGTCAAACTTGAGAAAGTAAGAACTAATAATTATCTGAATAGCAAGTTCAATTATTATTCAGAAAGTATTTTTTGTAGTTTGAAGTCGGTATATTTTTTTTATTACTTCCTTTTTTTTTCAGTTTTAATCGTCTCTATCGCCGTTGCATTTAAGTCCGCAGTGTGGTTCATTTCAGTAAAATGTTTAAACAAGAAACGCAAAAACCTAGGATGTAACCCGAACATAATTTTAGGATTTCTGTAGTCGCGTCTGAGACGTGTGAAAAAAATTGAAAGAATATATTCAAACCAGGGTTCACTGATAAATGTCATGTATATCACGATATATGTTGATATATACCATATTTTAAATATTTGTTGTTAGTTTAAGTATCGAGTCTCAGCTAGAAAATTAACAAACACGATTCCCACGCATTAATTTTTTTATGATAAATAATCAAATATTAATTAAATCAAACTCAATCTTTATTTTACATTTTTGACTTGAAATATCAAATATTAAATGAAGTCACTAGCAGCGTAAAAATCACAGCTTTTCATATAAGCATGATATATATCCGATATACTCGTACATATTGTATATAGGATAAATATCAAATCAAATATTTATTATAAATATAGAATTTTTGCGAACCCTGCTTTAAACTCCACAAATACACCTATCAACCCGGTCGTACAGCCGTGTAGCTTGGTATTGCCATTAATGACATTCGACCATAGCCTTATCATGTTTTAAAAAAGTATGAAGTCATTATTAATATGAGACGTGCGCTACGAGGTAACGCTACTAAGATCTACCTAATTTTTTATAGTAATACATACTTATGTAACTTACGAGTATTTCAAGGTATTACAATGAGTTCAAGGCTCAGGCCTTCCCTATGGATGGATCTCGTAGAAGAGACTAGGGGACTGAATAGGGAAGATGGGTTATGATCCATCACGCGGACCTACTGCGGATTGGTGGGTGTTGACGACTGTAGATACAGCCGGGACCAAGTGCTTAACGTTCGTTCAGGAGCACGGATACGGAGAGTCACCACCCGTCAAATTCACTTATTCAACACAGATATAGGACATAGTAGAATAAAAACAAACACAGAAGAAAGGATAAAAAAATATAGTGTCCCATGTCTGTGTCAAAAGGGCATCTCGTTCAGCATTTGTCAGTGACGCTGATTCCTTTGACACACACCATCATTACATATATCAATTTCCCAATGTTTTATTGACACTAAAGATATCAAGTAAGGTCTCGTTAATTTCAATGATTCCGCACTCTATCCAGTGAAAAATATAATTTATATTAAAATAATTATTTTTACTATTTTTAAAAAAGCGATCGGATGATTTCAAAATAACACCAAAGATGGCAAATAACAGTCGATCTCACCACCTTACCGTACTCATTGTAAACATTTATTTGGCGTAGATAATGTTACATACATTATAAAATAAATAAGGACTACTTGGAACAACACTAATAATTGATAACAGGTAGGTTCGTTGAAATCATAACTACATAACCCTGTGTGGCTCGCATAAGTATTGTGAACTATGTATATATATCTCAATGCATGCTCATATTTCCGGTGTAGCTGTTACGTTAATATAGCTTATGTGACACAAAGTTGTATACCAAGCGAAAGCATGTTAACGGTAATTACATTTGAAAACAATTAGATTAAATTCATTGTATGTACATAGCCATTGTAAAAAAAAACTTACAAAAAGTAATAAGCTCTAATGAAAAAACCGATCAGAAGCGGTTCGGCACAACAATACATCATCTGTGAAAGTTTCAACAGTCTAACCATCACAGTTCAAGAGATACAGCCTGGTAGATGGGCAGACGGCGGAGTTTTAGTAATTGGGTCCCGATTTACCCTTTGGGTACGGAACCCTAAAACCGTAAATTTCTTATAAGTTTTCATTTTATCTAAAGATATGAGATTATATTTTGCTTTTTTTTTTTATTTTATGTCCAACAGCTTCCCTGATCCTTGGCAATTTTCGTCTATTACCTTCTATGACTTCAAAACAAAGTAATTAGTATTCCGAAAAATTTTTGAGATCCTCACAGTATTAAGCCCTTTTATCTGATATGCCACATAAATAATGCAGTTTCCTAACTTTTTAAAATTCTCTTATTTATCCTTCCCCAAAAGAGTTTGTTGTTTCTAATTAGTTTACGTAGGTACGATCAAATCTTGGTTCACCGACTTACTCATGTGTACCAAATATTAAGGAAATGAACCCTTAAATGGGCTATTGGAATATATTTTATAGCAATACGTATAATTTACAAGTATGTAAAGGCTACTCAACAATGAAAAATAAAACCTACATAATACAATCTTATAATTTTTTAAAGCTCAAGTTGATTCTGTATACATCGGCGAATACTTGACCACTGAACGACAAACATAATAAAAATCGATTCCTGCATAAATCAATCAATAGAACGATACAAAAAATCCGACACAAATGCAGTGGGTGAGGACGCAACGAAACCGAAAGTATTCTAACAATAAATCTCTGTTTACAGAAAATGAGGGGACTCGTTGTCGTGGGGCTGGTAATAAGTGTTGCCAGAGCAAAACAGTGTACTCGTTTAGTTGGTAATTTATGAAGAAATGGAAATGGATTTTAGTAATAATTTGTCTGCAGACAAAGTCAAAACATCAGAAGTGCTAAAAATTGTTTGAGGAGACTGTTGTATGGAATTATATTGCAAAATATCATTATTAGATAATGCAATACAGATTTATTAACACCGTCATAATGTCATAATATAAAAGTTTAATAATTTTTTGTTATAGTAGATAATATATCATCGTTAAATATTCTAGAATCGGTGTCGAGCTACTTTACTGTTATAAGGACGGGAGTAGTTGCTTAAAGTCGTTATATTTAATTTAGCAGTAGAAAGTGGTAATGTCGACGGCGAACGAGTCACCCCACGACCTCGATCGCAACGGCGGCAGTGGGCCCGCAACCTCCGCTATGTCCGGCCGACGCTTGTGCGCCTTCGCGCTACTCGCGCTCGCGGCAACAGCACACGCGCTCATAGACGAAACTCTAGACGTGCTGTTTCTGAGTAAGGAGATCGGCGAAAAAGTGCTCAGCTCGTGGGATATCATAGGAAAACCTTTCAATGCGACCGGAGGCGTCGAACTTCCGATCATTAGGAGAAGGGAGAAACAAATTTTGGCGCGGTTGGCTCAAGTGTCGCGGGACATCGAGAGGCTGGAGTTACACATGGACCAGACGAGCGCCGTGGCCATGCTGCTGGCTAAGAGCGGGGGAGACGCGAAGCTCGAGTTGAGACTACAAGAGATATCCGACCTGCTGAGCAGGGTGGCGTCGGCGAATAGACAGATGCGGGAATACGTGAGGCTGCAGGAAAGCCTAGAGAGGAGCACGCTGGTTGATTTCGCCGAGTGGTGCGTGTCGCATGATCCCAGCGCGCTGCCGGGGCTGCTGGAGCGGGTGCACGCGTTGGTATCACCCCCGCACCACCACTTGTTGGGGCGCAGTATACTGCAATTACTTTTGCATGACCTTCAGGTTCGTATGAAAAGTACCTATCGTGTTTCCATTATTGCGATTACATAACTGGAACTGTAAACACAGCGTTACAAACGTTTTTCGTTTCATTGTTCGGACAGTGGGTACGGCAGTAAACAAGTGGCGGTACATCCGATTTTTAATCTTAACAGTCAAACAAATCATATTGTTTGAAAACTTTGAAGCTCTACCATCATCTTTTAGTAGAAAAGGACACGAATACAATGCACTTCTAACTTTAAAATTTATCGGAGCAACAGGCATATAAAAGTTTAACATAACAAACGGAGCATACATTAGGGGTCGTAAAATAGAGTGGTTTGGGATCATCTTGTGTTTTTATGACTGCACTAGGGTAACGTCTAGTCTCGTAATTTTAACTATGTTACAATAATTACAAAGCTGCATTATAAAAAAAAACGAACAATATACAATAAATAATGAGGTGGCGTGATGATGTTATACTATACATATTCATAAACAGTGAACTTTTAATAAGTTTTTATAGGGAGACTATAACAATCCATCCTCTTATCATATTAAAATGGCTCAAACAAACTACATACAAAGGATCCATTATCTAGTTTGTTACAAGTGACAATAAACGTCATCAGTTAGGTCAATATAATTTTGGTTACTGACTTGTATATAAATAAAATAACGATAGGTTTGTTTAACTCAACTTGTATTTTGATACTGCTGTAATTGGTGTTTAGACTTGCGTAATAATCTTTCAACCATAAAACATTGCGATTGCATTTCGATCATTATAGTTTTGGCTGGAGTTTCCACGTAGTTAACATCCAAACGAAACCATGTAGGTACATAAGTGTTAAAAAAATAGCTTTCTATTCAATACCTAATATTATATAAGTAAACCTTTTAATTTGATAATTTAAGGAATACAAACATCTTCGGTAAGAATAAATATAATACAATATGTCAGTAACTCTGTGGCCGAAGAAATAATGCAGTACTTTTTACAAGAATCGTAATAGGTAGTTTGCGAGTAATTAATAGAAAAACCGTTTTTGATGCACAATTCGCCATCATACCTCATTGCGGGTCCAATGAGATATTTCAATTACAGTACATGTTACAAAACGATCGATCGGTTACCCCTCCACACCAACTAAACGGTGTCTTATGACGAAGACGATCGAGTCACAGACACAATCGAATATAAACGAGCGTCGCGATTTATTAACCTCGTTGTCTCGTGAATTGAGCGATAACGAGGAGACTTATCTAGATGCAGTGTTGTTGCAATAACTATAGTTTCAATGTCGATATATCCAAGCCTTTTATCGTGATGAAAACCAAGATATCTGACACAGTCAGTTTGGTCACCCACTTCCACCGCAGGACAGTTACTTCTCCTCAAAGTGAAGTAGATGTGATTTCATTCTTGGCCTCTCGCACGTATAAGCGATTTCTGCATCCAAGCAGCCATTTTATCTAGTACTGACTGAAGTTTGTGATCGTGATATTTATCGTACGTTTTTATTCAACCCCATCTATTTAACGTACACCAGTAGCGAATAATACAGTATGAACCAAAAAGAGCATTTTGATTGGATCCAATGCAAACCAAATCGACGTCAACTTGATAGGCTTGCTGACCCGGTATCGATCTTAGGGCCTTCTAATTACCGTGAGAGTCTCTCGGCCACCACCACCACTTACAATAGTATCGATCTGCAGAAATAATATTACATAGTCAATTACCTCCTTAGATTTTTCCTTCTTAATTCTCAAAGCATAAAACAGGGTTACAATATTATCGATATAGTATCGCTATCGTACAACACTGCCTCAGCTGAGGGACGTGCAACACCAGTGAGAGAGCAGTAACTGCGCATGTGTCACGTACCGGCCGATGACTTGGTACAAAGGTCATCAACATCCCCAATGCCAGGATGCGCCCGGATCAATCATATTACATATCAATCTGACATGTCAGATACAACAAATACAATTTTTTTAAACAAATCCTCCAAATATATAGTATCACACAAATATTATTTTATAGCGGAAATAAATATCTTTTTTTTTCATAAATAATTAAAAAAAATGTATAATAAGGGTTTCCAGTTTTAAATTTTCGATTAAACTTGGAATTTTATTTGTCTAATACGTTTTGTAATAAATAAAGATAATATTTAAGCTGAGGTGAAACAATATCATCAGAAAAAACTTGTTATTTTTACTAATAAAATTATGAGTAATTTTATGATTTTCGGTAAATCAGATGTGCAGCACATTTTTTTTTAATAAAATTATTTATAATTTATTCAAAGATCATAAGATAGAATCAAATATGTAATCTTCAATCCCGACTGAAGGTTATATATTGTAATCGTTAATCTGTAATCAAACTGTTTATAGGTAGCTCATCACGGGATATAATCAGGATATGGCTGTAACAGGAGACTGGCTCGCTAACAAATCAATTACTACTTGACATTGGGTAGACAAGACGGACAATGGTCGTTTCTGCCTTGACTTAGTTTTGACTGGACTTTTATGCAATGTGAAAACTAACTAAAATTGTATTATTATAAGAATAAAACTGAATAAGTTCTTCATAATTGATAAAAATGTAATGTGCATAGCCTATAATAGCCATAATAAAATATCACACTTTTTGGTCGATACTTTCGAATCATAATTCAACATATTAGTACCAGATGTTTTTGTTGTTTATAACAAGGAATTTTCAATAAAAGGCATTTAATCATTCGATGCAAAGAAAGCTAACATTTAGGTTAATATTGCTTGAAACAAACAGTATGTTATTTTGAACAACGATATGGGAGAACGACTGACTCCGATTCCAGGAATATGACACCAAATATTTTTACAGCATTCTTATTGCAGAAGAAATATTTTAATGTTTTTAATAGGCATATGCAAGATAATAAGTAGCCAAAACATAATTAACATGAGATCAGGCAAAGGCATTTTTTAATTAATTTTTTTCGAGCACTACCTACATTTTTTTATAATATAACAACTTAGACGGGACACGAACCCGCTATATATTTTACTTTGCTCTCTGTGGCAGTTTATTGGACATCATCCAAGTCTAAGGGACTGATTGCTACTGGCAGTTGAAGAATCTGGGAAATATTTTAACGGCATAAAACAAGACTTCTATGTAAATACAACTTGAAAATATAACTTCTAAAATTTTGCTTTCCTATCCTAACGTCAAACCAGTATTCAATAAGAGACCTTATTAATATATCTCTATAAAACACATGAAGCTTATCCGTTACCGGGTGGGCTTGTATTGGTCCTCATAATTAATAAGGTTTGTTAGTGAATGTTTGGCGTTCATTGGCCGTTCAAAACATTATACCAAATGTTAAAAATAATATAAACTTCAAAAACGTGCAAAATAATACTCATCTTAAAGCGGTTGATGCGGTCATGAAAATTCTATTGAGGTTGGGCGATTAATATTAACAACTAACACAAAACCTACTTTATTTTATTTGTTAATTTTCTTTGTATTCGCGTTCGCATGTAGTTAATTTTATTTTAAATTATAGTTTATATATTTTAAATCAGTTTCCTACTAACCATTGGCAATTTTATTAATGGCTGAGAATAATACTAGTAAGAAAGAACAAAATGACTTGATAAATATCCGACACATTCCGTCCATTGATCAGTGACACTCAAAACCAGTTCGAGTGCTGAGATCATTCGCATTATGGTGTGAATCATCAAGGACCGTAAGCAGTACAAAGAGAACTCGATACTCGACATGATACGAACAATAAAAAAATAAATCAACGCAGTAATGATCCATTTACACGACGCCAGTAGCCTACACAGTCCAGTGGGCCAGTCCACTACTGGCAACGTGTAAATGGAGACAATCCTCAAGTCAGTCCAATGAAATTGAACGGTATCTTCTGGATCGTCTCAGCTACAGGCCTTGTGTAAATGTTCCATTACTCCGTTTTTAAATGGTCAATTAGAGCATAAAAAGTATAGTTACGTTTTTTGTTTCCAAATCGGTATAAAACTATATTTTTATTTAATGGCGTGGCACGAGTCGCCTTCTAAGTGTTAATTAATTCGTTTTTATAAATTACTTTCCATTTCCATCTACTTACTACTTGTGAATTGTCGGGAACTATTTCTTTATTTCGGATTTCCAATAAAATAAAGTATATTTTGTGTATGTAGGTCTGAGAATAGGTTACCTATTTTTATACCTACCTCTAAGGGTGGTCCAACCTTAATTTATATAGCAAAACAACGTTTGCCGGGTCAGCTATTACTGTATAGAATGACCAATCTAAGTAATGCTATTGTCTTATATCTAATTATTATTATTTAATTGAATGCCTGTGAGATTTCAATACGAAAAGCTGCTATCTGACCTCCGAGCTATTGATAATTCAGCAGGCGTTTTGGCACGTAACATCAACAATAATGACAAAAGAATACATTACTAATAAATTGCAACCGTTCAAATCGTCAATAAGGATAAAAAAGTATTTACATTCAGCTGTTGACGCGATATTTTAATTTATTTGAACTGTGTCTGTTTGTACAATTGAAGTTTTTTTTTCGTAGGTTTAGAGTGTAAGCGGGCTTTGTTACAATAACACTTTATTGATGGTTTCAAAAAAATATAATAAATCATAAATGCCAAACTATGTCGCGTAGTTTGTGTAATACATAGAAATCAAATTCGAGAAAATTATAAAAGTTCATTTTTTACACTGAATCGACAGGGAACCGAATCCGGTACTTCGTATATGGCGACGCCATGAAACCGACGTGTAAGAAAGATATAATTACTATTTATTTGGGTACAATAAATAGCCAAGAATGCTAATTTTCAAAGTATTATACAGGTATATTAAGTTAAATTAATTCTTATATCTAATCAGCAATTCCAAGAATTAATCCAGCATCGACCATCAACCCATACTACGATTTTTATTTATTATGCAGATAAATTCAAGTCTGAAAAAACTGTAAATTATTTTATTCATATAACAAAGTACTCCACATACGAATTAACAAACCTGTAGGCTCATTCTATTTCTCCGAAAACGAAATTTTGCCAAATTACCAAATGCTAATACGACTCCAAAGAAAACGAGTCGGAATTTTCCTAAGTTTCGTTCGAGGACAAATTGAATAATAGGTCCTCAGGTGTCATATTAATTCGTACGAGTATATGAATACATTAGTATGTCGGAAATCGCATTCTGTGTTCATTTGTGCGTCTAAAAAAAATACTGAATCATTCTGAAAATTTCACTAGTGCAAGGTCGAACTAACGTGAACTTGTTCTCGTAAACAGTTCCGAGAATGGAACAAAAGATTATAATAAAACATGGCTGAGTACTCGAGAGCGACAGGAGCTCAGCTGACGCGACACCACGAGCGAATAATAACATATATAATCACAAATATATCAGAAAGTAAAAACAATCTAACGAGTATCTTATTGCAACAGGATAAGAACTACAACACACGCATCCCCGAGATTGCATCTAGGTAACAGTATTAACATGCGGGTTTGATGTGATGAGGTACGTTATAAACTGCAAATAATCGATATCGATACGGTTTATGTGCAGTGGAATTCAGAAAGTTTTTTTTGCGTACATGACATGTATAATAGTCTTAAATCCTGGCACGAGCTATTTTCAATGACAAATGGGAACCGCGATTAAATACCGTGAAGCACAAAATAATCAATCTACCAGAGAAACAAATATAAGTATTTCCTGAAGGAAACACCGACGCGTAAAACAATGCAGCTATTTGAGAGACGACAACGAAAGGTTTACACGAGGTCGAGTAAAACAAATAAATATACGTGGATGTCGTCAATGAATTTTCAGTCAAGCATTAAACGGTCGAACGGAAGGTTGTCGATAGTAATGTAAATAAGCGACGGCCCATCACTATAGCGACCCCACTCGCTCGGTCCCCTCGCGCCAGTCCCTCCGCAGTGTGGCTCGCGACGTGCCACAAAGCGTTTCACTTTATAGTAGCCACATGATGAGGCTCGCGGCGCTATTTGCGCTGTGCGCGTTCGTTTTAGCGCAGGAATTATCGCCGGTAGATCACTTACGAAGTAAGTTCTATTCACTCGAGGCGGACCTATGGAAGAACGTATCGGATCCCATGTGGCGGGATACTGGACTCGGAGGTGATGTGGAACTAACAAAGGCTTTCGTCGTGTTGGACGAACAAATAGCGAAGGTGACGAGGCCGCCACGACCGCCTCTACAGTCTTGGCTGTGGCTGAGGGCTTTAGAAAAACTGCAAATAATCGACGGGCTTTACGACAATTTCGTACAATTCGTAAGGAGGCAAGCGGTGCCCGGGGCGGTGCCGGCACCAGTTAAAGAATGGCTGGATTTGGCCGAAAGTGTGCTGATGGATCCAAAGACATCGGCAGCGCAAGCGGTCAGGAAACTACACGAGATACTGCAGCACGGGGACATGTTCCGGTCTATATTAAAGGTACGCAGGCACAGGACGTGAATGATTCATTGCGAGCACCGTATGAGTATTCACGCACATTTTATTAATGAAACTCATGGCCGATAGGTACTGGTATCGATTGGCAAATAACGCCGTTACGAGAGCGTGGCTGGTCGCCGTGTTTGGTAACCAACAAGCCACTGACCCGCTGTTTATATTAAGACGATCGTTGTGTATGATCCGCTTTTAATAATATAACCGATTCTGTACGACAGTAAATTGTAAACTATATCACACTGATTTAGCGCAAAGTTTTCAGTTATTGTTAATTAAAAGTCTATGTACGTTAAAAATTTTGCTAAGCACTCGATGATATGAAATTCGTCTATTTAAAATTTATAGCGTCAATCAGCGTTTCAAAGTTTTTTATACAAAGAAATGTTGAATAGAGTAGCACACACTACTAATGTACTTAACCTTCCGTCATTTTTAATCATTTTAAACGGTCTTAATTGGGGCCATTTCCTATCAACACCAAGGGGTCAAACACAGTATTTAACAAAAATATAATCCAACGCTACGTATTGTTAAATTAATTAACTTAATTATAATATAACAACTACAGACCATAGATCTAAAAGAGACCAACAAGATTTTTTATAATGACGACAAACGTCATTACTAACCGGAAAGAACAGATGGTATAAATAGTTATATGTTGCGGTTTATTTATTTACCGTAACCAATGTAATCAAGTGGACAGATGTATGTATAATGACATAAACATATAATATCGCCTGGTGTTAGATTTTACTTGACTAACCTAAATAACAAAGAAAAGTAGGTTCTAGCGTACGCTTTCCCTTTTTATACACAATCTGAATAAACAAAACAACAACGAATCAGTAGTTTTTTTTTTATTTGAAATTTATTTGATTCTTGGAACTGCCAAAGCCACATTTTAAGAATTTGTAAATAAGAATCACTTTACAAAGGTGCAGCTATTACATGGTTTACCTTTTCGGAACGTGTTTATTGTCGAATATATTTTATGCAAAACATTGGTTAAACTTACGAGTTGTCAGAAACGTCACCAGTATTGAAAGTAATGACAAAGGTAGGTATAAACAGAATAAAGGTTATTTAATTTTACAGGCAATTACTCACTCTTATTGTCATGAGAATAAGGAACTATCTAGGTAACTGCAAACAACCAAGATATCGCCTAAACAAAAATCTTTAATTTTAATCGATTGTCCCTTTGTATTCAATTTTGATACCGAACAATGTTGCGATAATATCATTCTGTAATGACAGGAGGAGCATCCCGACTTATGCGAGTTGCAGTTGTCACCACACCAGCTGATATACGACACATATAACACCATATCTCTCACTGAAATCAAGGGGTACGCCATGATGCAGTTCTCGTGGATGCTACTCAGAATATATGGAAAAGGTGAATATTTTTTTTTATAAAACCCTAAAAATATGAAGAGACATGCAAAAATTTAAGACAAAGAAGTTAATTCGTTAGTCTGTTAATATTATATCTAATAACGATATTTTGCTGTACGAGATTAAAGGATTTTTGTAAAACTATTCTATATACTAGGACTATAAATATCGAAATGTAAGTGTCGGATATTTACGACAAGCTAAGTATTTTTTTTAATAATAAAAAGTGGAGAAATTCGATAACGCAACTGAATAAAGCTCTAATTATACTTATTATTTAAAACAGTTGATATTTGCACGTCCCGCCTATGACTGAGACATTGCAATCTGCTAAAACAAATACAACACGCCTGACGCCGTGAATCACCATAAAACTATCGGGTCACGTCTCTCGGAAACCTCTTATTATAATTATTAGTACAATGTCATAAAGAATGTTTTTGTGATGCACGTCGCAATATCCAATATCATCAAGTATTTGTAAACATCAACAATTTACTTTTATTTATGTTTACTGTTTTCGATATTCAATATTGCAAACAATAAGGTAATTAAACCAATAAAGTCCCAGCATATAAAACTAAATTTAAAAAAAAAGTATCTTATAATATACACTGAAGAATTATTTGTGATTTTAGAATTCCAATCGGACGATATAAAAGGCTCGTTAATGTATATACAATAAAAAGTAACTTTATTAAAATTACTATCGGATTCAGAAGAAAACTATACAAAAATCAAAAAGAAAATTATACAAAAAACATTTCATACCGAGGTGTTTCGATCGTTGTATTAAGATAGATATTACAGTAACAAAAAATACTATCCTTTATGAGTATGAATGTGGAAGGGAGTAAAAGGGAAGAAGATACATATAGCGTCGATCACAAATAAAAAATCCGGACAAGAGCAAGCGTATTACACGTAACATATATATCTTTAAATATATGGGAACATGACCCTAATACGTTATCAGACTCGTTTTAAAAACAACTTATTATGATCTTAAATGCGTATTAAACTGAACTGATGCGAACTACACCGATTAACGGAATTATAAATATAAAATCAAGACTAAACTGTCAACAACTTGTAAAACTAAAAAAACTGGCGTAAAAGCAGAAATAAAGCACATAAATTAATATGCAAAATTCTCAAGTCATTTCATTATTATCTAAAAGTAGCAGAGCTAACATTTATGAACTTTGTGAATTAAAATACGCAGTCTGTTTACGAAACATTCATCGAGACAATAAATGAGTAATATAGCCTGTTGTGAATAATAATTTCAGGAAACTTCACGCAGGAGGCCAGCCTGACCAGGCAGCGATACGGCGAGCGCACAGCGGAGACCGCCGCTGCAGCGAGAGCCGCTCTGTCATTGGCCAAACGCGACCTGTACAGGTGTGACCCGCCACAACACAAGGAAGGTGAGTGACACTATTACGTCATCACGTACCGATGAACACGTACGAGATATTCGAACTTTACGCACAAATTCTTGTCGGTACTGATACGCGGAATAATACGCGGAATGATACGATTGGACTTGGAAGGGGTTAGAACGATAATCCGCTAAAAGGGATCAGATTGATAACATCCGTGATAGCACATTATGTAAATATCACTTTTAAGTTGATCTATAGAAGCTACAAGGGAAACTTAGCTACACCATAATGAAACCCGTTGCATGACTTAGCAGGGCATATAGCCCTAATAGATATATAGCGAACTTCAGTGACGGATGTAGATTATTACATAGTGTGAATTAAAGTATTAAAGTTGATTATCATCTCGGTATCCATTGCAGAATAAATAATATGTGTATAATTTAATATTTAAATAAGACAAAGATTTGTATATTTTCCAGGCGAAACGTACGCAGAGGTGACCCGATTCCTCCAGGGTTATGTGGAGAACGAGGTGAATATGAACTCGGACCGTACGTGCCGTGACAACTGCGCTTACTACACGGTAGCCGAGAGACACAACTGCTTAAGTGGCACTTTCTGTGAAAAACAAACTAAATGCAATGGAAGGATACTAGATTGCCAGTATATAGACTCCGATATGTGGGTTTGTCCGGCGGTGAGTAGATATTATTTTATATATAAAACAAGAAAATTTGAAATCAAAATTAAGTGATTCTTGAAATCTTTCAACACGGTCATAATCTTAAAAGTTAAATGTTCAAATTATGAAACTTTTTATGTGAGAAAGTTTTATCAACTCAAATATTATTGTTATGATATATTAAGCTAATAGAACAAAAAAACATCAACATAATAATAAAAAACAAATCCCGAAACTAAACAAATCTAAACGTCGCTCAAATGACAAAAAATACAGAAACAAAAAATTATAGTGTATCAACAAACAACTAATATCACAATTAAAAATAATTACAGAACAGTTACCACAGTAACCGCCGATACGAGTGGATAGAGTACGAGAACGGGCGGATCTTTGGCAGAGTCGGCAGCTGCGCGAGTGGCACAACCAAGGTGAGAACAACTTTAATAATACAACCTACATATTGGCAACAACGATCCGCAAACATTGGATCAAACGTTGGCATACACACGCGCACGCCCCGCATAATCTCCGTCTAGCGAGTTTATCTATGCTATGTTCACTTTTATCAATCCACTTGACCTGACTTTTAACACTGATCCACACACAAACATGTAAGTAAACATGGATCTAATAGGATTTATAAACATTGTGACCTGAGTTAAGAAAGTTTCCAGGTGGATTCTTGGTGGCGGTGGTTGTTCTGGCACTGCTCGTACTGCATGTGCCTGTGCGACGAAGCCAACGAAAAGTCAGATCGCTACTTCAGCCTTTGGCCTTCAACGTCCGATGTCAAAAATAACAAGTTAGTCCCTATTCACTTAGGGACACCCGCACAAACGAAAATATGCTTTATGTCATACATGTTGGAGACGAACCTTCGATGCAATTAGAGAATCTACACTAACGATACATTTTCCTTCAAAGGTCGACTCCTGGTGGAGATGGAATCTACTCCATTGTTCGTACTGCTTTTGTCTTTGTGAAGAAGATGCCTTGACGTCAGAACGATTCTTCAGTATGAGAGAAGCATTAGCTAACGTTGAGATGAACAAGTCAGTAGTGTCACACTATGAAACGGGGTCTTTTAGCTTTAGATGCGATACATAAAAAACATTATATCATACTCATATCCCGTAGCGCTATCGAGGAGAGCATCATTGTAATGGTGTACCGACCTGAACTACAGTCATTATGTCAATTAGAAATAATTAAAATTATGGGTATTTTATAATAATGTTAATAAGGCTAATTTAGTTAAGCTAACAGCATGGGTGTGCGGGTGTCCAAAATACATTTAGGTTTCATCGAAAAGTAAAAACTCATACTCATTACGTAAACGCTTTTTCTCTTACTAGTTAAATAATTTCCTTCCAGAGTAGTGACTGGTCTGCGTATAGTGAAGTCGGGGCGAGTATTCCACCTTCAAATAAGTGAAGGCACGCTCGGTGAACGCGGGGTCATAACACCAGGGGACTGGGTGCCAGTGCAGAAGTTCGATCCCGACGATCCGGGAACGACTCTCGGAACAGATTACCACAAGCTGACGTACGAGAAAAGAGCTATAGACTTGGACGAGTTGGACTCGCCGGCGGGACACGTATTGACAGGAGTCAAGTATGTTATTGGTTTCATTACGACCCTATACATTTATTTCTTAATACTTATACGATAGTTTCCGTTTGATTACTTATTTAGAGTTTCAAGTTTTAAAAAATTTGAATACACATATGACTGTCTATACAATCTGATTTACTAGCTAACACAAAATATGAACAAACTATTACCTATGCAAATATAACAGGCCAAGTTTAGATATTAAATTGTTTTATGTGATACAGGTTCACATTGGTCGGTGCACATTTGCACTTCGAGATTAGGGCGACGCCGTTTAATTACGCGACCGGACGATTGTCTCCGGAGAGGAGTTATTGGATAGGCAACGATAACACAGACGTTGCCGATATGCCAAGGTCAGTATTATATATATTACTATAATACGTTATTCTTATCCTTATTCTATATAAGTAACAAACGGTCAAATGTGAGGTGGACATGCGCACCGAGGGTACTATAACAATAAAAATGTTAAATTTGAATTACCCATATTACGATAGACTACTTTTCTTGGAGTCATATAAAAACATATACTTTTTTCTATGGATTTAAGTCGACTAGTCTCGTAGATAAATGGCGAGAATTTTTGCTTGTTTTCTAACTTTCAAACGATTGCAGGTATATAGTAGTTTTATATTACAAAAAAAATACAATAAATTATATGCTTACAGCAAACCGTGTAACTTATCCTATACAACTTATTAGATCCTATAATACTCTTTTATTATTGATATGTGATAATTGATATAAGACTCATTATAGATTTTAATCATACTTTTCGTTCATCGACGGAATCCTAATAGGATGACTCGAGCATATTACCAATATTATTTATATCATGTCATCGATTAGCTATTGATATTGTTTCGTTTCCCTAACTTTACCTTTATACGTTCGCAGTCAAATATTGTACTCCTTTATTATGTTAATGAGTTAAAGTATAAACTTGGTTCACACACGCATAAATCATATCATAGTTTGTTCATTTTAGAAATATGATCTAATTTCGAATTTTCTGAAGCTATCATGTTATTATTAAGTGTTTGAACGTTTCAGAAAGCGTCTAGAGTTGTATCGTCCGGATATACCAACTCGCAGTCACACCCCGCTGTCAGTGGACTCGACACATGACCAGTACGTGGAGTTCACGCACACGGACTTGGAGGCGGACGCGGCGCAGAGCGCAGTGCCGTTCATTGATATACAACCAGTCTCGCCTATGAAAGGTAAGCCTCACTCATTAACATACATTATGTTCTACTTATTGTGATTCGTAATACCAAAATATCACTCTCCACCACCAGATTAGAGGGTTAATTATTGGATGGTTTTGTCATAAATCATGACATACATGATACACAAACAGACGGTAAGACATTAAAGAAATTTCTTCCTTATGTTACATCTTTTAGAAAGGAAAAGGAGCGAGATCGAAGGAAAAAATTATATAGTGTATATGATATATATGACTAAGAAATGCGTGCGTATTGAGTAACAAGTGTGCATAAATGCATATTAAAAACACACACCCAAATAAAATTGGGTCTTATATTTGTTATAATGTTACGTTTATTGCAAACTTTCAGCAATTTGTCACTACTAATTTAAATAAAGTATATTAGCGGATGATAGAATATGATCAAGAGACAACCTTCCGTTTCAGGCGGCGGTCTGTTAAGCGGTGCGGGCATCATACATCGCGGTATAAAAGGCTCCGGCGGATTCATAGCAGTGAAATTGTTTACGTACGATTACTCCGCCCACATAAAGGCGGAACCGCCCACTAGCGAGTTCGACGAGGAAGCGGACACGACAGAGTTCGCATCAATCATCAACTAGCATCGTATTATATACTCATTTTTTATATGTAACTAATGACTTTCTAATATAATTAAAAGCTCAAGATTCTAAATACGTGTAAAAATAATTCCTAGCAAAAACCAAAGGTCATACGGTAATGTCTAAATTAAATAGTAATTGGTAGTGACAGATATTGTGCTAGAATTCTATTCTGTTTAATGAAAATATTAAAGGTCAACAGTACACCAGGTCACCACAAAATGTTAAACTTTGTAGCCTATTTTGAACTTTGGGCAAATAAATTGATAATTTTGAATAATCTGATGGATTTATGACTATACGATATTATATTGACAGGATTTTCAGTGTAATAAAGATTAATTATCGGTATACATATACAGTGACCATGATATTTTGTGGGATTGTGTGACAGTAATCGTAAGAAAAAGAGTAGTCGAAGCATAAAATATGGTATAAATAGAGGAATGTGCCATGTTTGAGCTATTATTTATGCGATGATATTTATCGATATATATTAGAGAGTCATTGTGTGTAACGTAGTGATAATATTATATTTTTTTTTATAAGTAAACGTCTAATATTAGGCTCAACGCCATCATCGATTTATTTGTAGTACGATTGTTTAATTTTGTAAATATAATTAAGGCATACGCCGTGATAATTGCTTTTTCATTTAACATCGTAGCCCTAAAATTAATGTTTCTTTGTCCTCCCTATAGAGGAGATAAATTTCTACCTCAATTGTGCACCCCACTATCTATTTGCCTCCACATCACCCCAAGGTTGACTAGTAGAAAATACCTATACTCCATTCACTATAACATTAGAAAAAAGAGGGTCATAGAAGCAGCAGTGCAGAACATTTTATTTTCAAGATAAATTTAAAAAATCTATATTAGTTTTGTTGAAACTTTGAACGTTAGGTAGTCTGAAACAGCTGGGCAATTTTCCATTTTTTATGATACCTCGGGGTTGAGATGAGGCCAGCATTTGATAAATTCATCTTTTAGTCCCAAGCCAACATGGAACTAAAACTGAAACTATCTGTGTGTTTTGATAAATTCTAATTGTAAGTGTAATAACTAATAAGTTAGACTATTGATGTAGAGATTGGAAAAACTCCCTGAAATGTCAAAGTTTGAGGGTAGGTATGGGGGCTTAGAGCGTAATTTTTGTAGGCCACTCGGGCCTGTACCAGCATCGCCCATATTTACCAAAACTTAACAACAAAAATAAAACAATAACATCACGGAAAACGGCAAAACAACAAAACACAATGGATGACAATCCCAGATTACGATTTTAACAATTATGAATAAATAATAGTCTGACAAAATTAAATTAAGGGGTTAGGCAACGTTTTAAATTTGGTAGAGTTATAGTGACATGAGAATCGTGCCAAAACTATTCAACCCTGCTTCTTTAGGTTCTTTACGATGAACAATTTTTATTGTTATACTTATTAAATCATTTAAGTTAGGCATATACTCATAAATTTGTTTAATAGTTAGCTTAAATGACAACAGTTACGTAAAGCAGCTGATATTTAAGTGAATATGTAGCAAATTAGCCGTCAGTCTTAAAAGTAACATGATTATTGATATTTTGTAACAAAGTATACCATAAAAAGAACCTTATTTCACTTCTGTCTAATGCTATAATGAATGGAGTATAGGCAATAAGTCCGCCATTGTAAATTTGTCCAAGAAGTATCAGCAAATAAATAAATAAGGGAAGGACCATATGGATGGTTGAAAGGCTAATAGGGTTGTGTATTACAAGTGAAAATACAGGTTTCTGTTATATGTTCGGAAATTTTTAACCATTTTAACTTATAAATATGTAACAAAATGTTATGACACTAATTTGGAAAATATTGCGCTAAAAATTGGGAAAATATTTTTCACTTTTGAATGATGAATTAATTGCAGAAGGTTACCATTATAAAACAGTTAATGTCTAGTGATGGGCGGTTGTAAATAAAATTTGTTCACCTTTATTTAAATAATATCTTATTTGTATGAAGCACGTCCACCTCAATTTGCCACACCGAATGATTGCATAGTTCAGCTTTCATGTCAACACGGAGTTAGTTCTTATGTATATTTTTATCCAGTTATTTGTATTGTTAAATACAAAACCAAGCCCGGATCTAGGGGTGAGTAAGCGGGGGCAGCAAAACATCATTATATAATATCTATTTACAGTTGAATGACCTGTACAAACATGCTTCGAAATCCCTAAATGAAATTAAATAAAAATATCATAGACTGCAAAAATATGATAATATAAAATCAGTCATCTCGGAAGGGGGTTATAGGAAGGGCGCCATGCGAAGTTTCTACCCCGGTTAAAAAAATCGTTGATCTGGGCCTGTACAAAATATGTATAATTTGTTCTGGTGACACTGAAAGTGACAGCTATTTATGATGTCACGTCTCATGGGCTGCATAACAGACCATGTGACATGTGAAAAAAAAAAATTTTTTTAAACTCCAACTCCATTAACTACTTTTAGACAAATCAGCACACCGTTTTATTCCTACTGTCCACGAACGTATCGTACACCTTACGCAAGCCGGGTTTGTATATCCGATTGACCGCGGCATTGTTACATGTTGCGACAGTCGCAAGTTATGCAACGATGTTACGCCTTAAGTCTATATCTCAAGTGATGGTACTCTATAAATTGTAGCTCGCTCGCTTATGCTGTGACGAATTTTGCCGATGTTGCTTATAAAAGTATTTTTGTAACCCTTAATTTCAGGGAGGAAGGCTGCTCGCGTCTCGAGAAAATCCTAGACAACCTACACGCACCTCCCGGGCGGTGCTTAACGTGCACCAAACGCAGGGTATCGGTCGGTGGTAAATTAACCCGCCCCTTTGCAACAGAAGGGTTACAACAAGCCTCGAAGAGTTAAATACCTTTAAAAGTGTGGACTCGTGAGTCCACCCTAAATCTAAACATCCAAAGAAAATTTAAAAGGCTCTCAGTTCCCAGGCCTCCTGTAAGACCTGGCTACGACAGCGGTCGGGACCCCTGCAAGACAGAGGGTGCGAAGAACCTCTGGGTTACGTTAGGCAGTCCAAAAACGATGTTATCGGTTACATACAATGTCAGGACTCTGCTCACAGGCGAACGCTATGCGGAATTAGAATTGTTTGTTTTCAACTAAAATTAAATAAGATATTATGGGGTTTTGTGAAACCCGGAGAAGAGGACCATAAACTAAGTTACCATCTGGACACTTACTTTACTATAAATGATACGATAATAAGTCCTGTAGGGGGTGGGCCTTCTAATTAATTCACCTCGGGTAACATACACCACTTTTCAACTGAGTGAACGGTATAGTTTAAAAGTAATACAGTCTTATGAATCAACGGCAGACGGCACTGATGAGGAGATCGACAAATACTATGATGATACAGATAAATGCTAAGTTGAGAAAGTCTTCTGAAAATGGAGAATATGTCGGCGAGTATGGATGGATTCCTAGGGAACCTGAATACTTTTGTTCGTCTTTGTATAGTTCCACAACACCAGAAACAGAGACAGATCAGAAAGACCCCAGAGCTAGAACTGAAGATCTGCCAGAATTTAGTTTGTAGGATATAAAAAACGTATTAAAGCTTATAAAGAAAGGCAAATCTCCCGGTGACGATAAAATACTTGGAGCATCTATTGCGCCGAGAAAAACCCGTACTGAAGCAACTGCAATTATTTATTCAACAAAGCGCTCTTTGAAGTGACTGCTTCAGATACGTGGTAAAACACAATCTTAATCCTGCTCTACAATAAAGGTAACTCAACTAGACTGAATTACCGCCCTATCTCAATGCTAAGTCACTTATACAAACTCTCACTAAAATAATAACCCTCCGTCTTACCGATCATTTGGATATGGCTCAATCAATTGAACAGGTAGGCTTCCGTGGTGGATTCTCTACGTTTGATTATATACACACAGTAAGGCAGGTTTTAGAGAAATGTAATGAGTATAATCATCCAATAGTAGTTGCATTTGTGGACTACGAAAAGACTTTCGATACCATTAAACATAGGGCCTGTGTATATTATCTAAAAAAGATTCTCGTAGATACAAGGTATATCAAAGTTATAAAAGAGACTTACAGCTCCGCTACACTACAGATAAAACTGCACGACCTGTCCGAACTAGTACCAGCCAGAAGAGTAGTGAGGCAGGCGGACTTAAGTTATTTATATCATCTTAAAGGATATATAAGCTTCTTGATTGGTCTGATGGAGGTATAAATATCAAAGGTGAAAAACTAACGCATCTTCGTTTTGCAGACGACATCGTCGTTTTCATCGAAAACCTAGACGACCTCCAACATATGGCAAACGATCTCTATGTGGCATTAGTTAACAGTTGGTTTGCGAATGAACACCTCAAAAACTCAAAAATTAAGTGCAAAGACCACATACAGATAGCAAATCAGAATATTGAGTGATTAGATCAATATGAGTACCTGGGGCAGCTGTTTACTCTGGATAAGACCGTGCAAAGTCAGGAGACAGACCGCCATATTGGACTAGGATGGGCTGCATTTGGTAACTTATCTGATATCTCCTAAAATAGGAAGATGCCATAAACTCTAAAGCGAAGTTGGAAATATGTCTCCTGCAAGAAGGAAATGGCGTTGGGCGGAAATGGAAGAAGTTGACGATATTGCTAGTCTGTGCGGAAAGAATTGGTTGCACAAAATGGCGTGAGATCGAGGAAGCCTATACCCAACTATGGGTTACGGAGGGAGGACAAAGAAAAAAAGATATAAAGAATTTCAGAAAACAAGAGCACGTCAAATTATACAAATCTATCAAAAACCCTCGGTTTTAAACTACAGGATATTCAATACATTACGGCAACTAAAAATGTAGCCGTGTTTATTAAGATAAACGAAGTAAAACTACAAAAAATCAACAAGGAACAACAATTCGAACGAATTAACACGAAACTTTAAGAGAACATTTTTTAATCGGTTTTGTTTATGATTTTGTTAGAAATATATCCCTAAAACTTATCTGTGCATCAGAGGGAGGGTATCGGGTTCTGATTCCGTTGCATCGTAAGTTACCGAAAAGTGCATTCGTTCCGGAGGCCGTGTTAGAATTTTGAAGTATAGAATGTGGAGGTACGCACCTGGACCCTGAGCGGGTGCACGGCCAGCAGCGCCAGCAGGTCGGGCGGCGGCAGCACGTCGGCCGCGCGCACGCCCATGCAGCGCACGGCCGCGCACAGGAACGCGCCCAGGTACCGGTGCAGCGGGAAGTGGAACGACGCCTGCATCACCTCCGTCTGTGCACGCACACTTGCTGTAGTTCAATACTGATCGCCCCGCATCGGGCTCTCCGACGGAACAAAAATGGTGCCTCACCCGCTCCATGTGCGGCGCGGTGAAGTGCACGGCGTCGAGCCACTCCTGCAGGTAGGTGAGCGCGGCGGCCACGATGCGGCGCGCGAGGGCCGCGTGCGCGGGCTCCGTCAGGTGGCTGAGCACGGACCACATCGGGTACGCGGCCGCCTCCAGCTCGCACGAGAACGCCGCGTAGTACGACGACGGCTCGAACTCTATGTGACCGCCGGTCTCGCGGACGTTCACGTTCATGCCTGCCGGCGGACGATGAAACGGATCGATTCAGTCCGGGTTTTCATAATGTAACTAGGTTATAAAACGTATCTACGATAATGGCATTTCATTTTAAATCCAACTTTCGATGCCAATAAAACGTGATTTGTGTGACATTTAAATTTGACGGATAAACGCGTCATTTTGACCTGTGATGTGATCGGTTAAACAAGGCATATTATTTCACTTAAAAAAAAAACAATTCATACCTATCCGAGTTGTTTCATTTAAATGTTATTCTGTTCCGTTGTTTCATTTTCATTCTGTGCTGTCATTTTGAACAGGAACGTCATTATTTTTCTATTGTCGTATTTCTGACGATCGCGTTACGCATATGTGAGATCACACAATTGTTTACCTTGCAGCATAGATAGGAACTCGAACCACATATCGATGAGGGCGTCGTCCTGCAGGAACAGCAGGGCGACGCTCTTGTGGGACAGCACGTTGTTAAAGTCGGACACTAGCGGCCAGTAACAGTGCTCCTTCATGACGCGCTGGGTGCAATCGATCACGTAGTGGAAGTTCTGTTCCGGGTCGTGCAACGTATTCTGTGACAAAAAGGAACGAGTGCAATTTAAGAACAGAAGCCTCATTGGACAGAGTGGGTCTTTAAAAAAATGTAAGACATATCGTACTGACCTGCACGAGGATCTTGCCCATCATGAGGCGCAGGGACAGCACCATGACGTGCAGCAGATGCAGCTGCTGCACGCAGCGCAGCGCGAGCGCCTCGTTGGAGAACAGCTGCACGGACATGTGCACCACGCGGTTGGAGAGCGTGTCCGGGTCCGCGGCCGCCTCCAGCACCAGCGGGATGCGCGCGTAGTGCATCACGAACGTGCGCGTCAGGTGCTCCTGTACACACCACCACACATCACACGTGCTCACGTCAGAGATAACAGACTCACTCCGACGATAAACAGTTTATTTCCGATTAACGATTTAAAGATACAAAAAAATATTATTAATATCATGCGGACACCCAGGAAATTTGCCTGTAGGTGAATACAGGATACAAAAATTTGGAATTTGAACATCCAGTGAAATAAATATCCACAGTAGTTAGACGAATGAATGGCTCTGTTTACAGGTTCATTTATTGTTAACTAGCTTTCCGCCAGCGGTTTCGCTCGCGTATTCCGTTCCTCAATCGCTAAAAACTACATCTAATTTGCTCCAAAACTACTGGATCTATTGATATACATATGAAAGTATGTAAGATATACATATGACCTACAACGTATATAATAGATACGACACTACAATAAAATCAGTTATACAAACGAAATCAAATGTTATAAAAATTAGACACGCATACCTTGTAATCTTGATCGGGTAGCATGTTGAGTAGGAAACATACAATGTTCTGTGGAAACTCATACTTGAACGTCCAGAATATGAACTCGTCCAACAGAGTGTTGTGCTGCAGCCGCGGCGCCAGAGCAGGCAAGTGGCGGTATCTAATAAAACATTTATTTTATTCTTACTTTTATAAATAATTCAGTAATATTAGGTCCTCTCTTTTACATTTATATATACAGCAATCATTATTTTTAAATAACTCCAAAAAAAGAAATTATATTATTATATGATGAATATATTATACGGACAACTAATTGTGATCGATAGTTCGTATATGATACACTTACTCATCGGGTGGTTCTGGCGCAGGAAAGTTATCTAGTGCCTGTTCGTACATTTTGTTGGACTCGGCCATGTAACACCCATATTCCGTCTCAGGGAACGGAGGCTCCACCAGGTTGCGATACATCTGAACACAAACAAAACAAACTCTTATCGAACGGTGGCGAAATAAGGACTGAATGGGTATGGTAAGCTCCAGGCGACACCTAAGAACCAATAAATCAAAGTTAAAGCCTTTGTATTAGGGGTTAAAGTATGAATTTGCCGTTTTATTGTAATAGGTTCCTTGAATTGACAAAGAATCTTCGTGGTTTGAGGTTTTCGAAAGAAATTATTTTCACATGATGTCTATATCGACTTTCAATAGTTTTTGTTATTTAACTAAGACAAGAAAGATGGATACTGCGGTAGGATACTTAGGTTTAAACGCTTTCGTGATGGAAATTTGAACTTGAAGAACGAGCCACGAGGAAGACCGCACACACAGGTGAATAACGACGAATTAAGAGAGCCGATCCTAGTCAAACTACCCAGGAATTAGAGGCATGGTGTAACGTTACCTTACCCATAATATTGATTCATTTGCGTCAAATCAATAAAATAAAAAATACGAAAAATTAGTGCCTCATGGTTTGACTGATCTGCAGAAAGTAACGCGAGTTGAAACTTGTTTTTTTTTTAAATATTTACTATATTGTCTTGGATTGAGTAGTTCTGGCAGGCAACTTCGCTATTTCAGATTTCCATAACCAAAAAGCTGTAGCTCCTTATTTTGTTACCTGACTAATATAGATCTGTAAGTGAATTTATCGAAATACCTGTGGGTTAATCAATGCTTTCGTCATGGCGGAGCGCATCAGATCACCCATGTTGTTGAACTCCATCAACATTTGCACGTAGAACTCGCAGTCGTTCACCGCGATCCTGTACCCATCCGACTTGGACTGTGCTCCCGGGGACGCGCTGAAGTTGTCGCTAAACAAATCAACAAAAAAAAATTAGCACTATATGCACTTAACCTAATTATAAATTTATTTATTTATGTGAAAGTTTCTTTGTTTGAACAGGTTTTGATGAAATTTGGCATACAGATAGGGTATTAGCTGACTTAGATAATAGGATATTTTTTATCCCCACTAAATAGTTCACCAGGGACCACGCGGGCGAAGCCGCTGGTTGAAAGCTAGTATGATATATAATTGAAGTTATTTCAACATCTATTTTTTGAAATACAGATTTCAAAACAAGATTCATACTAATATTATAAATGGTCAAAATATATTAATTTGTTCTTCGTTCACGTAACAACGGAGCGTGTTTATGGCACGATTAAAAATCCTTTGATTACGCGGCTTTGAAATACATTGAAAACCGCAGGCACAGCTAAAATATACTGTATTTGGAAAAAAATAGCCTGACGCATGGTAAATCAGTTCCGTAACATTACCTATAAAAAACGCAACACAACACGTTTTTTGCATAGGTGTTGTAATTTCCCTCTTATATATTAATTTTATTATCTTTTTAATTGATTTTATAGTTTATTAGATACAGCCCAGTGACAGGCAGCGGAGTCTCACAATCGGTCCTTGTTTTTACCCCCTTGTTACGGAACTCTAAAAAACGCTGCTGAATGCAAAATTATATTTTAAAGCTCTGTGCACAATCTCAGGTATATCTAGCAGAGCAGAGATTTTCGGATTTTGTTACACTTTAGGTTCTTTAGAACCTTTGCAGGTTTTCAACGTATCCCGGTTAATGTTCCATAGTGGCCAACTATCCGTACATTACGTTTCGACTTTCAAACGTCCACTGACCGATTAGAAATAGTCTGTCCAATCATAGACTCAGTATTTTAATTTAGCTATTATCAATATAGTTATTTTAAAGCAACGTTTTTTATCATTTTTTTCATGCACTTTGACATCCTCTGTAGTCAAATTAGTATTGAAGTTAGACATAATTTATAAATAATAAAAAAACAACCTCCACTCGGTTATAAAGATGACTTACATAAACTTATCTGTAGAGCTAGTAAGTGCGTAATATCTAGGTTAATACTACATGCCCTTAAAGCATTGCACAATCCATTTAGTCACAAACGTTTATATATGAAATAGGTTTTACTTCATAATCATCATATTTGCTCGCTTAGGATCTAGGAATAACTCTTGTGTTGATAGATACTGCTAAAATTTATAAATACACTTCTAGCTTTTGGCCAGCGACTTTGCCCGCATGGTCCTCTATTATATATATAAATCTTCATCTTGAATCACTTTGTACATTGATGAAAACCGCATTAAAATTCGTTAAGTAGTTTGAAAGAAGCGCGAAGCGATTGTCATACGATGTATAGATATAATTAATTGTCCAAAGCATTTGCAGCTTTGCAGAGTAAATTCGTGCACATAACTAAGACAGAAATAAAATTTTTTGACGTTTGCGGGTTGTATGAAAGCGCACACATAGACTTTCAATAAATATGTAGCAGTAGTACAGAACACGCGACTTGGACTGCAGAGACTTAATTATATTTTGCGACAATTTACCATATCGACCACCTTAACCTGACACCAATAAGACATTCCAATATATGTGGCTCTCTTAAATATATACTACAATATTTAAACTAGTTTTATTGTGTAACCTGCCACGCTGTCGACTATAGAACAATTGAAGACATGGTCCCTTTGTACTAATTTTACAAAAAGGAAAGATTCGATTGTACTACAACCAATTTTAAAAATTCTTTTACGTGAAGCTTTAATACACGCGGGTGACATAGTCTAAAATTTACGCGGGCATAGTCTCAGGAAAAATATTATAAGAATTATTATATAAGTGTAAACTTTATTCTCCAGGTCGATTAACATTACTTACAGTATATGATAGAAATCTCACCTGTTCTCTCTGAAGTGTTGTAGTAGCCGAAGTATGAGTCTTGGCATCATGGCTTCAGCGACGCACATTAGCTCGGCCGGCGCTGTGCCAGGTCGAGGGCATTTGTTACCGTGATTGCTGCAGAATCTGAAACAAAGATATATTTATCAAAGTATTTTGTATTTCATTTATTTGTCGACCTCCCTGGACAAGTGGCTGTGGTTCGTCGTTTCCGATTTCTATGACGCAAGCATTTTAGCTATTGCTTAAAAAGGGTAAAGAGTGATGTATGTGATATTTAGTCTATGTCCTACTAATATCATAAATGCCAGTTTGTGAAGATGATGTGTGGTTGTTACTCCTTCAACCAAATACTACTTAATTTTTGATGAATTTTGGTATAGGGATCATTTTAAGCCTGAATTAACATATAGGTTACGTTTTATTCCACTAAACGGTTCCCTAAAGGAATAAATGTACTGCTAAGTTATCATGTAAATCACGCGAGCGATGCCGCTGGCGTAAATGTATCCTATTTATATATTAACTAAATTCAATTCTTAGTAACTAACCTATTTTGAAAATGGATGACACTGATTGTGTAATATTATTACGATATTCCCCAGTGATAGTGAAGTAGCCAAATTATTCTTTAGGCTAAGTTAAAATATTAAAATTGCATCAATAAGATATCCTATAATGAATATGTCAGTTCAATGGTGACTTCATATAACCTGGTTAAACTATGGCAATGGGTGAGAATATGCGGTCACTGCCAAGTACACACATTACCGGGCTACATTAGTATGCTGCTCATATATACAACGCATTCGTGCAGTGAAATCTATTAATCTATATTCATAAATTTATAAGGCTTGCAATGATGACCTAATAGTATTTTACTGCAAATATATAACCTGGTGTATATATAAATATGCTAGCCAAAGCCAATAAGCGTGCCGTTGAAATTGCAAGGCAAGACTGTTACCGAATTAGAATCTAATAGATAGACAGAATAATTTCTAGCAGATTAACTTTACCGGGGCCAGCTCCAATACTATTATACAAAATGTCAAGTGAAGCCATAATAATACGAGTTAGTAGTCATAATATATAGACTATTGCTTTTATCAATAGGCTATTATCCCAACATGACATCACCTTCAGAGCAATCAAAGCAAACTAGAAAATAATTAAATAAATAAATATTTAACAACATCACATACATTGCTCAGATTCCAAGATGAGTAGCTAAAGCCCCCGTATTATGGAGTATCTGAGGCAACGAAGGTACCACAACACCCAGACCCGAGTCAATATAGAAAAGCTCATTTTCTAAATTGACCCGACCGGGAATCGAACCCGGGACCTCAGAGATGGCGACACCTTGAAACCGGCGTGCGAACCACTCTGCTACGGAGGTATAGACTTGGTTAGAAAATTGCTAGGGTGAAAATAACTAAAAAAAAAAGAGAAGCTAATTATGATACTTTGAATATAATATAACTTAACAAATAATAAAAATTCAAATAAAGAGTGAAAGCTTAGCTATTATTTTATACAAAAAGTCAATTACTTTTAATTGCACTCATAAATTATCGATACAAGACAAAATAATTTGCATATCTTTAGAGATCGAGCCTTTATCTATAAACAACCTGCTTATTAACCAGAGCATAAAATATAGTAGGCGGCCGACGTCTTGGCGGTGACGTCACAGAGTCAAGGGCACCGGTGCCAAGTTCTCTGCACGACCCATTAGGAACATAACCAGCCGTCTCTTTCACGCAACCAAACACCACTAGGAAAGCATCCTTGTCTAAAAGATACAACACAAGATTTGGACAAAGATTAGTCATTACCGGTTTTGGATTGTCGTCAAAATTGGCAATTGGGAATTACTAATCGAATTCGTTCTGTAACTTCTCACGTCGTTTGCATACACACAAATACAAACGATAAAAGCGGTCTCCCATTAAACCAAGTTAGGTAAAAGTTTAGTAGGACGCAACTTTCACATTGTATTTGCCTTGCCACGCACGATAGGCGACCTTTGTGAGGTCGTCCGGGCAAGGTCAAGTTCGAATCAACTATTATACAGTTACAAATGTAAATTAGAAGAGATTCGATGACAAGACGAACAATCGCATATGAAATGTTCACAGTCAGAAAATTATGCAACTTTTCAAACGTGGATAAATTGCAGTATACCAGTAACTTGTGCAAAAGAAAATTTTTTAGCACCATAACGTTGCTAAATTCAAATTTGACCTTTGCGTACTGTTCAAATAATACTATAATAATTATGGTAATGATTACTACGTATAGTATTATACCAACTAAAGCTCGACAGGTTTTCATGACCATATAAGAGTCCAATGACGACTTTGACAATATAGTTTTCATGAAGGTAAACAACAAAGCTGTGGCGGATTTTCCATATCAGTTTTATAGTACCAAGCTATAAAATATACAGCTGAAACATTATGATATTGAAGTTTTAGCTAAACAAATAAAAAAAAAAAAGCGCGGCGTTCAGAGATTAAAGCAGACAGATAATTGAGCAGAAGTAGTACATGATATGCATAAACAAAGTTATCATGTCGAAAAATTGCGTGAGTAGAAATTATTAGAAAGAATCTATTTATATTAATGAAGTATACGTTTCCGTTATCAAAATCCATCAAACTCTTTTGAATTTTATTGAGAGGAAACTTACAAAACAATCGATGTGTAAACATTCAACTGGTAAAAAGAAATTTGAACTTTCCATAAGAGAAAACTTTGAGACCTTCGACTAAACAGAATTTAAATAATTTTATATACAATTTAAATTGATGTCTTTTGTATTAAACGACGATCATCTCTATATGTACAAATAGTATTATGAACTTGGTATTGGGTTTTGGCAAATGACTCACTGCAACATGACTGTTGTTTTAGTTCTCTTTTAAATAAAGGAAATTACGTTTTATTAACAAAGGTTTATTTGGTAGGGTTACTGAATATTGCTGTTTTGTTTTGAAGAGTAAAATGTCTGATCTAATTATTGGACATTACCCAAAAGTTTTGCTTGTTACAAAATCATTAGAAATATTGCTTAATATGTTTGTTTTCGTATGTTATTGAAAGATCATCCACGTTGCAAAAGAAACCGTACGCGGTATTAAATAAACTCCATTTCCTGTACGTCGGACAGCTCCATTTTGTTATACTATATATAACTCAATTATGTTGAATTAGATCATTTCGCTTTGCAATAGAGATAATTAAAATATCATAAGTCTGCACTATAACTTTAGCCTTAAATAGGTATTGTAATATTCTTAATATGTCTTTTTATTTTAATCCTAGCGGAACCCACAGTCTGTTTCTCTTTCTCTTCTTTTAATCAGTGACTTCATTCATATCATGTACCATCTATTCCTGTTCAAATGCAATCGATAAAAGAAACAAAATTGAAACGGTTTCATTGCGTTGGTATTATTTTTATGGACGTTTCGGACCTTTTGCGCTTCATTTAATTTAATAAATGTAATCTTTTCCATAAAGTATAAAATTCTTGTATTGTGAATGTGACCAATAGTATGGAGGTTTTAGCTATACTCTTGATTAAAAAGACAATCAACATCTTAGTCTTATGAGACCACGGAACCTGTAGAGGGTCCGAAACGTCAATAAAACTAAATACAAACGCGATGAAACCGTTTAAAAGTTATTTCATTTATGGATTGCGCGTGTGAAAATAAGAAATCAAATGCCATCGGTTATTGATATACTTAATTACAAATAGAAATTTAAAATAATAAAATAAATAAATACAAAATGTTATCTGAGCAATCTGCATCAACTTTTCTTTGGTATTACACTCGTCGACTGCGGCACGAGTACGATTCAACTGTCAATAAAACACGACTCGTGTAGCCAACCAGCTCTCGATAAGTTTGCAAGATCTCACCAGCTTTTACAGCCACAAGTACTTTGTATCGCTACTCAGTTAGCAACAGAGACCATCACGAAGTCATCAGATAAGCGACACAAATTCTCCATCAAATTGTTCGGTCCGACAAAGCTTTATGCATAAATGAAAAGAGCTCAGTACTGACCCGTCCTCCTTCATGACTGATTTGTCGCCGCAGTCGCAAGCGCCGCCGGCCTGCGACAGGAACATGTTGAAGTCGTGCGTGGAGTGGTCGCCGCGGTGGAAGCACTCGCGGCAGATGGACATGCACGGTGAGATGCCGCACGTGCGACAGCGGTACGCTACCACACGCGGTATCCACACCAGGCCGCATTTGTCGTGTTTGTCGTAACTCCGAACTGTGGACAATTAATATTATTATTTGACTATATGAAATGAAAGTGACGCGTACTCTGTTGGTCCGGACACGTATCAAAATGTCGAATTTAATTTACAACGGTAAAATAGACGGATGTAGATGCCGGAGTACGCCAAGATTTTCAAGATTTTCTCAGAAGGCATAAATATTAGGACGCCAATTATTAAAAAAGGGGTTAATAATGTCAAAAAACTAAAGACGAATGTAAAGTGACTTGAAGATCTTCGTCAGAGACGTGGCGGGTTGTGAACATCGAGTTTCTTTTCTATTTTGTAAATGTGGTGCTTACTTCGCGAACTATGCCATACCACGTCTCAGTTTGTGTGAAATGGCTTAGGTTGAATTGTTAAAGGCCTAAACAAAACAATATTTACTCTTACAAGATAAATGATAAACAGATTAGTGATAATTAATCAAAAGGCAAACGTCTGGTTTAAAATGTATGTTTAAACACTAATAATTTCGAATAGGTATGCTTATTTTAACTTATCAAATAGAGATCTACAAATGGCCATATTACGATGACTATTTAAAATGTTTGGAACTCGTTGATGAACGTTCGCCGTTTTTATCATTATGATCATAATTATGTAAAGTCATTGCTAAGGTTCTTTGAAAGATGTTCGTTTAACCACACATATCAAACGGAAACTACACAATAATATATAAAAGAACTATCATACAATGAAAAATATATTCTTTTTCGTTTTAATCTATGAGAAAAGCTATGAGTCAGTTTTCTCGTTGCAATTTTTCACGACTCATATAACACACATAACACAGCATTTCAGACTATCACCAGTGGTTAATTGTAATCTCCAGCTCCACAAGATTAGAAAACGAAATAAAATGATATTTATAACTTGAACCTAACAATAAAATATCTTATAATTTTATTTTAAAAAGCTTTTTACGAGGGTTCCGTACCAAAAAAGGAAAAAGAGAACCTTTATGATATAACACTGTCGTCTGCCTGTCTGTCTAGCAAAGCTTTTTCTCGAAACTACTGGACTGATTACAATGTGATTAATTATAATGAATTCAATATTCAATGACGAATATAAAGTGTTTATAATTAACAATAATAATAATAGTAAATAACTAACTATTATAAAGACAAGTTTATTAAGCCTATTATCTGTTATTGCAATGATTAAAGAAGCGCGAAGAAATTTTAAACATAACAGCTTTAACCATTTGCTCTATTAAAAACAAACACATTAAAAAAAACTTCAATAACTATTAAGTTAATTTTATTTGAAGTGTAGAAATTTATTACACTAATGGAATTAAAAAAAAAAATAAACGGCCAGACATATGTTACTAACAATGAGTGCAGAACAGAGAATATATGTATCAGAATTCAGAAACAGCTGACTCATTACGTAGGATTATTAGGTACCCGTTCTATACTCGATTGTTTTGTGCCATCAAAATGATCTACATCTTAATTAGACGCCGATTAGTATTTATACAAAAAAAGCACGAGTACTTAAGAGTGCTATGATGACAAATTAATTACAAATCTGTTCAATCTTCAAAGAATGTACACATTCCAATTAACTATGTATTTGATATAAATAGGAAGAGATTTTAGAAACTTTCTTGAGAGGAATTGGCATGAGATTATACACGTAGATATTGTTTGAATAAGTTCTGTATAATATTATTATGAGAATATGTAATGGTTTTAAAACTAAAGTTTTGAAGTTGCATAAAACATATACGAATTAATGTTCGGACTTAGGAGTTTCGAAGTGCAATAAATATGTTTGTTTTTTTATTAATTTTTCATTCATGAAAAAGACACCCTAATAATAAATCATCACCAGCCCTTTAACGTCCCCACTGCAGGGGCTCAGGCCTTCCTTATGGATGGTTAAAGAGGATGGGCCAATAAATACATAGTTAAATTATAATAATTTCAGTCATTATTTCGTAATTCGAATGAGCACAGCTGGTTCTTGTCTCGTTAATAAAAAAATAAAAAATTTCGTAAACGATTTTTTTGCAAGACCTACTTACATTAGCTACCTATTTATATAATTTAATGGATTACAAGTGGAATTCTGGCATTGGTAATGATTATAGACATTAACGTTTCCACATTCTTTGTTATAATTCTAAAAAGCACGAGCGTGGCAACAAAACATGATGTTACAAGAAGAATCTTAAAACCTATTTCATAATTCGAGTCGTCAGCATTTTTAAGCTGGCGCTGTAATTATAATTTACATATTGATGTTTCTGTGAAGATAAAGATAGTGATGAGGCTCAGTAAGTCAAGCTTATCGATAATTTTGACTACGTACAGTGTAACGTTGAAAGTGTAAGTATTAAATAGACTTTATACTTCATACTATGACGTCAATATTCTTATGAGATCATTGAGATAATATTAGAGATCCAGAGAAGTCAATTGTAAATTAGAATTGGATTTTACTTTGTAAGATAAATTTTTAATTTTTATAGTTATGCCGACAGAACTCTGCAAAGAGGCAATTTTATTCACACTTTTTTTTAACGGACTTCATAATCCAAAAGGAGGAGGATAATCTTCGAGGGCGGTGTATGTTTTTCATGTTATAAGTACATATTCCACCAATTATTGGACGATTTTCCCAACTTTTTTATCATTCGACAGATGGATGGACCGAGGTGGTCCCATTTACATTTTATCGAATTCGAATAAGTGGTTTTCCTTTTATAACAAAACAAAATACGCATTTCACCATACATCGCCTAAATATTTAGATGATATGCGGTGGCGTATTGGATTAGCGCCGCGGCCCGTGATCGTAGTCGTTAAACAACTTTCACAAGGGTAGGTCACGGGATGGGTGACCAAAAAAATTATTATCTCGAGCTACTCCGTTCTTCGGAAGGCACGTTAAGCCGTTGGTCCCGGCTGCATTTGCAGTCGTTAATACCCTCCAATCCGCATTGGGCCAGCGTGGAGGGTCATGGCCCATCCTCCTTAACCATCCATAAAAGCCTGAGCCCCTGCAGTGAGGACGTAAAAGGGCTGATGATGATGATGCATTGTACTTCATTTATTTCAGCTAAAAAACAAAAGATTGCGTATTTTGAATTCATTCATTTTGAATGTTCAAGTAGGTATGGCAATCAATTTCTTCTTGAATTGTGAATCAATTTTTATCAAACTAGGTGTTTCCCCACGACTTCGCCTGCGTAAATTATAGCCTATGTCCAACGCGTATTATGTAGCTTCCCGTAGATAAAAGACTTTTTTAAATGGAAAAAATTATATCGAGCTGTTATATTTTTAGTGTTACTTATTATATTAAAATATTAATATCACTAAAAAGAATAAAATTAAAAACCTACAGAAGACTTCCGCCCCACTTAAATAGCATTTTCTTAAATAAGTCACTTTTGATATAAATGTTATTTAATATCAATATCAACCATCGATAACATGCAGGGTTCGTAATTATCAAGATAATTTTTTTTTTCAAGAAAAACCATGATAATTAGACCATGATATTCGATAAATATCCATAGTTACTGGCAACAATTTTTAAAATACAGAAAGGCATTCATAATTGTATAAACCTTTTTATTGTTTTAAATTATAAAAATTAATCAAAAATATTACCTGTGAATAAATAAAAAAAATATAGGGGGGGACTTCACTTTTTTTCTGTTTCTGTAGGTAATTTTCTCTATCAGAAAAGACATATTTTATAGTTGTTTAAAATGATTCCATTTTAATAACAAGTTATAAAATACAAAAAGAGTTCGTGTGGTGTTTTATAATTATCACACTCCAAACCCTGACAACGTGACACACCGCGGTTGGCCATCACTAGAGAAAATACCAGGAACAAGTTAACAATGTAACAAATTTATTATACACAGAAAATGGCTTATGATGATGATAAGTGATTATAGAATGCGGTAGTTCAAAGCAGGGTTCAGCGATATAAAACAGGGGATTGACATAAAAATTGGCAAGTAATAGTTCAATTAGCAACGGCAACGAAGCGATCAGAAGCACGATAGTAAACTTATTACGCAACATTAGCCGAGTGGTGGATGCGACGCATCGATAACTGCAGACGTTTACCAGGGCTGGTGCACAGTACAACCCTAATACTTCTCCCGATAGGAAATAGGAAATTATAATCTTCTTACCATTTTAAAATACCAGAATTATTTTGTGTCAAAATTGAAAGAAAATTATCCAAATTGCGCAAATAACTTTTGGGACGTGAATATATACAAGGACTTCAAATCAACAATATAGATCTAAGCACGATAATGAGTGAAGACTTATTAATATTCAAATACCTGATCCATTTGTCATTAAGTGGTTCATAAAGAGATAATCGCGGTTACTCGTTCCCGTATTCCTAGAATATTTATTCAGACTGCTCCGTCTATTTCTTCCGATTTTCGCTTAGTTTTCATCACTCATGGATAGATCAAATCCCATAGTTTATTATTTGTTGTTATAAGGGGTTATGCAGTTCCCTGAGGAATTGTTGTCACTGCGATCTTGAAGATCTATTGTTTCGCCGAGCTATAGTAACTCCTTTAGCCTGGTAGACTTCAAAAAGTCTATAATATTCCTGGCTTTTAGAGATTTAATATCTTCTGGGCTAATTATATGTCGTCCCAGATGTATGTTTCGTTTGTGGATCAGTGGTCCACACTCACACAGGAGATGTTTTGGTGTTTCACGTTCCTATTTGCTATAGATTAACCTACTAATATTATAAATGTGAAAGTTTTGTGAGTATGTTAAGTAAATGTACAGCCGCCGCTGGCCGAAAGCTAGTTATGTATACTACAGGACCAATAAATTAGAGAAATGAAAAAGTACGTCACTGATCCCCAATCACAACAAATGCGTGTCACTGATTAGTTTCTCTTATGTTTGACTGCTGGAAATCACTAATCGGAAAAATTATAAAGATAATTAACCGAATTAGAATTAAAGTTACGTTGCGCAAC